CTCTTCCGGAAGGGGGGGGTCGAGGGACTCCGCACGGCGCGTCGGGATTTCGGGGTCGACCCACGCCGGACGACGGCTGGCCGTCCCCCCCCGTGGTGGGGCGCGTCGGAGCGGCGGGTCGGGCGGGCGATCCCCGCTGGGGTCACCCCCCCGGCCTGGGGGTACGGCCTTCTTCGGGACGGCCACGACGACTTCGCCAAGGGGGTCGTGGCTCCGGGCGTTGCGCATATCGTAGGCGATAGCCTCCCGCAGGGACTTCGAGTCCCGCCGCTCACGATCCACGCGAGATGTCTCAGCACCCTTGGAGGAGGGCGTCTCGGGGGTATTCTGGGAGTACGAAAGCCGGCCCTCGTCGCGGCGGAGGAACTTGAAGGTCGTCAAGGGGGTTGTTGGCTTCTTCACAGAAGCAACGGATATTCTAGGCATTATCGTTTGGCTACAAAAATAAAGGTAAGCGTAATGAAGTACAGGTGGTTGTAAAACAATAGACAGAAATGGCCCAACGAAAAGAATTTAATAAGCGAAGATGGTGTATAAAGATGGCTGAACTTTTTCTTTCCAGTTTTCTAAATGTATTGTTTGCTTTGGGTTTGCCCCAGTCTTTTTCCTTCTAATGATGTCGTGTTGGTGTCGTTGATATCTTCTGAAGGAAAACTATGAGTGCACCTACGACTAAAGAAATGTCAATGAACGGTTTATAAACGACGATAGGAAGGAAAAATAAAGACAAGCAGTGCGTAGAGATTGAGTAAGGATGTGTGGAAAGAAGCAAAGATACACCTAAGCAGTGATAATAATGACAAGATAGTAAAGCCGCAGCTTTATAGCTGAATAAAGTTCTATGATCAAAACCGTCTGTACGGTAAAGGAAGAGGAAAATGAAGGTAATCATACCACGTCTAAAAATCAGGCTAGAAAGCTAGTCTATGTATTCCTTCGCCATTATAAATAAACACACGAGGAAAAAGAAAAGAACTGCACAGTCTACCTCTAAAGAAATGCTCCGCATTAGCAAATAGTACAGATGCTCCCCCAAAGACAAAAGAAAAAACAATTAAAAAGAGAGTCACAGCGTTGTCCATGAATCCTCACTCGATATATGAGTTTCAATATCCCCGTCACACTCGATACATGGGAAAAGATGCCGAGCTTCAGACTAGGGAAATGAAAAAATAGGTGCATCTCCATAAAAGAAAAAGCAGTCCCATTATATTAGAAAATACTTAGCGTACGTGCGCATGGAAGGGCTTTTAAGCAAAGTAGAAGGAAAAGGATTCTATGGAGAGCCCGAAAAGGCATAACGGCTCGAGACGCAATCTATCGTTCAAGACATGTGGCGCCCCAATTCCCAGCATTGTACCTTCCCCCCCACTCCACAACATTTTTATTCTTTTGCTAGACTGAAATACAAGAGCCCGCCCTTGGCACCGGGGGCTCCATCACAGGACTTGATCAACTACTCGTCGACCGCGCTTAGCTTCTTGAGCTCGGGTATTATGGGGATTAAAGGGATCAGACGTTTCTAAAGTAGAAACAGGAGGGTAATGGTCGGGAGCGGGTACAAAGGCTAAGAGAAAGCACGCAAAAAGGTAGTATGCGCACGCAAAAATTACAAAACACAACAAAAAAGTTGTCAAAAGAAGCCACCACAGTGGAGGTAGTGAATAGGATAGGGATGTTTCGCCACTCTTGAGCGCTGCAGGCGCCTTTAGATCTGGAGCGTCGTGGGGCAAGTCAACGACCGGATGTTTCAATTTGCTTTCCATTTCAAGAATTTCAACAACCTGTTTTGCAACGCTCTCGGAATCAATCGTGATTGTAGGGCTTGATTTGGTTGACGTCACAACTCTATTAATCTGATCAACCACAAGGCTCTGCAACTCCTGCGTCTGTTTCGCCATACTCTTCTCTATGTCATCGTGAAATTTCCTTTCGTAAGCTTCCTGAGTGTTCTTTATGGTGTCGCTGATCTGGGTATGAACAGAATCCCCTCCCATTGTGATGCTTTCCGATACCCCGTGAAGCATTTTCGTAGACTGAGCTTCTAGCAGTTGCTTAATGTTTTCTGTATGGGTGGTAATCATTGACTCGATCTCTTCCTTTTTGGCCGCAGGTGGAGCGTTCGACTGAATTGTTTTCTGATCGTCTAACAGCTTCGCAACCCTTTCAATAGTGGCAAGAAGCTCTTGCTTGGCGGACTCTTTGCTAGCTGTTAAAGCTGCCAAATTTTGTTCTAATGTTTGAGATAATGTCAATAGTTCCCTCTTCACAACTTCGCTCACCGTGTCCTTTACGATTGCGTGAATGTCTTCGTAATTTGCGGCATCATCACTAATTTCCTCACTATGAGAGGCATCAGCCGATGCGCTTGTGTCTTGTGGCGGTGGTGGTTCCTCTTTTTGAGTCATCTCACGTAGTTCTAGTACATTTTGCTGTATCTGCTGCACAATTGCAAGGACCTCTCTCTGGTTCGTCTGATCTATCTTTTCTAAGAGTCCCTTGATGTCTTGAATATGGCTATCAACCTGCGTCTGGAAATTGAGAGACCGCTGAGCTATTTCATCAGATTCGCGCTTGTTGACACCATGTGTTCCATCAGAAGTGCGGTCCGCTGAGTGCTTGAGGGCCTCTAAAGTAGCAGCCTGCTCACCGAGAACGCTCTGAATGTCCGCCAAGCCCTCCTTCACGGGCGTCATATCGACGGCCTGCAACAGATTCTGTATGTTCGACGTCAGAATTTCACGATGCTGCACGCCAAGTTTCGATATTGAATTCTCTACCGCGCTAAGCTGAATCTGGAGCGTCGCGGTGGTTTCAGCGATTGCTGACGTAACAACCGAATGGTCTGTTTTGGGGGAAGATAGAGACGCGGCAAGGGGTTGCACGGCCTCAGCTAGGGAAGCCTCAACCTTCTTCACAAACCCTTTCAGGTCCTCGGCGGTGGCAAGCTCGCTCACGCGCTCCTCCACCGCCTTCACGGCTATCTGTGAATGAGCAGCCTCCTGCCGCACCATATCGCGCATGGCTTCGGTGGCCTCTGAAGTGAACCCAGATACGGATACCGCGAGTGGTTCCTGCGGATGGGCTCTTTCCCGCTGCTCCTGGGCTTGAGCCGCGATAGCATCAACTATCATGGTCGACAGGTGTCTTGAAAGCTCCCCAATCTTTTGATCTAGGTTGGTCTCCTGCGTCGCGAAGGAATCCTTGAGGAATACGAGTAAGCTATCAATGTATTGGTACATCGGAGTGAGGTTGACCTCGTGTGTTTTTCCCATTTCCCGCCCTACTGTCGTAATCAAGTCGTCCCGGAGCCGATCCAAACTTTCCGTCAAGCTGGAGTCACCATCGGACGACGGTGTCGCGTTCGCAGCTTGCTCTTCTCGACGGCGGTACTCCTCTTTGATCGCGATAATCACAGATTCCGAAATGCTGTTAGCCAGGTGCACCATATCGTCCGGCTCCCGTTTCGCTGCCACAGAGGCCTCCAACTGTGCAACAAGTGCCTCCATCCTTGGCATCAGCACCGCCTCCACGGTAGCTGCAATATCTGCCAGTTCTGGTGGTGGCGGTGGAATAGGCGCTGTCTCCTTCGGTTGGCCGGACTGAACGGCTTCCAAAATCCTTTGTAGCTGCTCATCAACAGTGGAGATGGCGGAGGACAGGACAGAGGCTGCGCGCACCTCCACCGCCGCCTGCACACTTTCCCCAATCACCTGAGCGACGTTCAGCAGTCGCTCTTCAGTATGACCTTGTCTGACCTCCATCGATGTGTCGAGCTGTGCAAGAAACTTTTGGAGGTCCTCAATGAGGAAACGTACCTCGCTGAGATGATCCACCGTGGAAGATTCGAGACCACTAGCAAGCTCACGGCGTGCATCTAGCTCCTTTTGGAGCAGTTCCCTCACACCCAACATGGTCTGCGCTACCTCTGCCTGGACTTTGGCAACGCCTTGGATGGCTTCATCAACCGCCTCGACGCGGATAAACGTGTTCTGAGCATTCTTTACCGCTCTGTCAATAGCCAACGAGAGAGATTCTACCTCATCACGCCAAGCGTTGCTACTCTCATTCATTGTATTGGCCTGCTGTGATTTCTTACCCATCGCTTTCTTAATCTCCGCTGCAACAGAGTGCCGAATGTCATCCGTGGCTGCCTGCAGCGAGCCCTCAATAAAAACCTCCAGCGCCTTCACGTCAATCCCCTGGGAGGTGTCTTGGTCACCGCCTCTACTCTCCATCTTGGAGAAGTGCGCGTTAATGCTATCCTCAAGTGCATTAAGAAGATTCTCATGCTGAACCCGGGCAGATTCTTCAAACGTTCTCAAAATAGAATCACGTACTTCGTCGGAAAGCCCACTTTGCGCAGTTGCGTCCGTGTTGCTGCTTTGTACTGCGAGTTGGTTCGCGCTAAAGTTCGCTAATGCAGACTTTATCGACGTCTCCAGATGTGCAAAGTAGCTACTAAGTTTTTCTCCGATAGCATCCGCGGAAACAGCCTCTTTCGGGATTGGGCGTGAATGCATGTACTTATCTAATGATAGTGCGACTTGCTGGCTTATTTGTTTGGAAAGATCCTCCGCACTCGGCAGAGAGGATTCGGTTACATTCGCAAGTCGAACTCTATCAAGGTTGTCTTTCAACTCATCGCGTATGCACTGCATCACTAGGTTGGTTAAAGTGCGCATCTCGTTGCTTTGAGATACCTCCATAGTATCAAGATCAGCCTTCCTGGATGAACAAACCTGCCTCACAATGAGGTTGGCCATCGTGGCGAGTTCGTCGGTGAGCGTGTTCTCGAAGAGCTCGATTCGCGCCAAAGCATTGGTGGCCTTTGAATTAAGATCCTGTTCTGACGCCATGCCACTTGCCAACAGATCGGAAGGCACGGCCTTGTAATCACAACTGTCGGGAGCCCCCACCACAGAAATCTCACGAATATTAGGCATAGTAAGAGCAAGGACACTGCGCTGAAGGGGAAGATCCTCAGGGTGAAGCGTTGACTCGACCATAACACGACTGCTTGACTCTACACCCTTCAGCAGGTCCTTTGAAGGGCCGTAGCCCTTGGAGCGAACCGAAACGATACCTTCTGTGGCAGGCCCCAAACGAACCGTTGAGGAATGTGGTCGACACATGATTACCATCTTTGAGGAGTGGAATGCCGGAAAGGCCGTCGAAGTCACAACACGCGGTCTCAGTTTTCGCATCGGAGGGATTTCTAAAGAGATATCAGGAAATAACAGTAATAATAATAATAATTACAAATGACGGTCCTAACGTCAAGGAAGGGGACAAGTTTCGATGTGACCGCCCTGATCAAATGTGATTCCACTTTATTATATTTGAACCTACAATAAAAGCGGTAAATGATGTTTTAGAACAAAAGATTTTCCCTCTTTGATAACCAATTTACCTCTACTTGGGTAAACAGAAGCCCTACTGCTTCCTACAAAAGAAATCAATAAGACGGCAACCAATAAGAATAAGGATAAAAATTAATTGAGACATTAGATATTTTTAAATAAAAAATAGCTTTAACAGAAATAGATTTTTAACATCGCTAATATAGATGGAGTATTATTTCATAGCATACAAAGATAAAAATCAAACAGAAAAAGGAAACACAAATATTCATAAAATTTTGATAAAGATGGTTTAGAACTTCTTTATCAAGATCTAAAATAAAGAGGAAGAAAAGGTACTGAAGTGGAATTACGCCACAATGATTACTTCCTATATTTGGTCCTTTTGTTTGATGAACCTGAAACAAATACCACATAATATCTATATATAAAAATCGAAGAGAACCAAACTCCAGCACATCACTGAAGGCGTAGAAAAAAGAGTTGTTCGTTTCTATGGCTTTTTCCTTTTTGCTCCAGTCCTTTATAAATTATTACACAACACTTTGTACCATCTGCTGACCGATGGAAACACACTTCCGATTCCCATATGAGTGTCCACTAAAGCACTCTGCTAGGGATTCCATCTCTAAAAAGGGACGTCCCCCTATGGTGTTTCAAGAGAATCCAGAAATGGTAGATAATAAATGAGCTAGTGTGGAATTGCAACGACTCCCCCCAATGGTTTATAAACAAGTTTGGAGCTCAATTTTATACAATCTGTGAATAACTGAAACAAACAATTACATTTAGCAAAATATGGCATATATTCACACAGGTTATTCATTACTACAATAGCAACGATGACAACAGGAAAAGCAAAAGAAAATCAAAGCAATTCAACAATTCCCACAACAAGCAACACATCAGGCGGTCTAAAGGGATAAACACCAATGAACAGCAAACAAGAAAGAAAAGAGAAGAGAACGTCATTCACAGAACTACATGAGTAATCACAATAATAACAATAATAATAGTAAAAGAAATCGAAACCAAACACCACTGAACAAGGGAGAATATAATTATTAACAAGATTCGACCCTGTACTCAGCGCTGCCGTCTAGTCCCTAAGTGTTTACCGTACTGTGCGATCTGTTTTCGTAGCCCTTCGATCCGCTTAGTCTGGTTTCCCAGAATGCGATCCACGTTGCGACAATACACCTCCATACTTGTCTCCGGGTTCTCTGCGGCATTCAGCTGCGTCATCTCCTGCTTCAAAAGTTCCATCATGGAATCAATGTGGTGGCGGTGGGCCAAGATAAGATTGTCCTCCTCGGCGTCAAGGCTATCGGCGCTGTCATAGCGGAAGTCGTTGACGATGGGGCTAGCCGCGGTAGAAGACATATCACTACCCTGGCGGCTAAACTTAGAGCCTGGTTTAAATGCCGTATCATGCCTGGCAGGAACCCCAACGGGTCCGGAACTGCCCTGGCGCGTGATGAATCCTTGGGGACGCAAAGAGTCGCTAGAGCTAGCCTCTCGGATGAAGAAAAACGGTTTGGCGGCACCGGGAGGGGGGGTTGCAGGAGTGCGGGCTTGGCTCGATGACCGCGAGTCTCCGCCAGCACAGAGACCACTGGTGGATGACACCTTGCGTTCCTGCGCTCGGCGCTGCGCGAACGAGCCCGAAAGCCCTACCGTCTCCACATGCTCGGTTGGCATCTGTCCCATCATTATTTCCTCCGCCGCGCTGTGGTTTGAGCGGTCCTTCTTAAGCTCCTTAACACGATCAGCGTAACGGAGTGTGTTGAGCGTGTGCTCACAGCTGCCGCTCGCCGGACTGATGTTGCCAATCATTACGGTTCGGCTGTTACCCGTAAAGCAATCCCGAAGGACAGCCGTCAGCTTCGACCCACGAAACGGGATATGCCGATGGTTTTGGTCTAGTGCACGGATGCATTCCTTCAGAGCCAGAAGGGATTTATTAATCTCGGCCCCTTCAAGGCGAGTGGCTCGGTCGCTATCGAGGGTATCGGCACCACGTTCGGATCCTGCTAAGTCGATGAAAGTGAAGCGGCCAAAGAAACGATTTTTTGAGTTAACAATGGTGATATGCAAAATGGCATGTGAGCGTGACGAATCCGCATTCATGCCGGTGGAGCCAGCCGCACGAATGTTGTTGCCGTAGTCGATAATCCGCATGAGGTGATCAGTATCCTGAACACGATGCTCAGTGAGACCACAAACATTAATCACTCCACGACTATCCTCTCGGCAAGCTAGCCGCTCCCGCTCATTCAGCAAGTCATAAAGCTTTCCACCATAGATTTCGAAGAAGGAGACATGGATCGCCATCCCTGGCTCCAAACGCGAATAAATGTCACGTGCGGCCATCAAGTAAATACCCTCCTGCGAGTTCTTGCCGAGCATCGTGTAGGTCTTGCCGCTGCCGGTCTGCCCATAGGCAAAGCAAGTTGCGCATCCGCCCTCGAACACTGTTTCGACTAGCGGTTTGCAAGCTAACTCATAGACGTCGCGATTCGTCTTGCGGTCATCAAGGACAAGATCGTACGTGAAGCGATGCTTCTCAATATAGCGCGTCAGATCCACCTTCTGCTTAGGCTCTAACAATGTGATGATACGACTGTTGTTGGGATCCGTTGCCAGAATATCGTACAAATTGTCATTCATCTCGTTTGCACTGAGTGGACGCTTACGAATAACCACCACAATGCGACTGCGACGTCGTACCTGTGGTCCTTCATTGCGCTTACCTATGGAGGTCGTCATGGAGCTAGTCCGGCTCAAGGGACGTGAGATGGGACGAGAAGCAGGGCGGGAAGAATTACTGCCTTTTGCAATGAAATCCGTATCTGCGTTTGGGTCACGGCGCTGAGATAAATTATTTCGCGAAGCCTCGTGCATCTTTTCAGAATCATTCATAGATTTTGTCGGGGTTGGCTGACGCAGCGGAGTCGCGACGCGCGCTGGAGCAGGGTGATCCGACATGACGGGTACCGTGCGTGTGCGTGAGGGGGCCTCAGTGGTTGACGCCGACGAAGTGTTGATGCTTTGTGAGCCGTTGTTTGTCTGTTCGCGTTTGAGGAATTGAATTAGTTCAAAGAGCTTACGTCGATCAATCATACCAATGATGCCAACAGACTGATAGTCTTGCATGACAAGTTGCTTTAGCTGCTGAACATTACATATGCCCGCATCGATGAAGCCCTGAATAGTATGTGCAAGGCCGCCTTTTTCAAGCAATTGCTGAAGCTTTGACTCCATTCTGAGTCGCGATTTATAACAATATCAGGGGAAAACTTTACTTTCCCTTACTTATGAATAAATATCAAATTTAAAGTATGATAAAGTATGTATTAGGAAAAGATTTAGAAAAAAAGAACTAAAAAGTCAGTAATAGTGAAAAACAAGTTACATCAGTTTCGTTTCGAAACTGAATAACAGTAATAAACAATAATTTATTTTTTTTATAAAGAGGACAAACGTCTTTTTTCCCGAATTTACGCTTGTATCATATTTCATATATAAAAAATGAAGATATACATATTTATATATATACAATCGATATACATATGTCCCTATATGCAATTTAATGATCGATTAAATCGAATAAAAATGGGGTGCGGAGCAAATGTCTTATCTTTATGCATAAGTTTTATCCTGATGTATGTTAGTGACAAACTTAACACACAATATTATCAAACGAATTAGAAAATATGTTCTTGCGTTCTAAATTTCAGCCTTAGCTCTCCTCGGATATTTTTCTCATGACATAAACAATAAGTGCATACTATGTTCCATATAAATAAGGATTTCTCCTCTAAAGCCCATCAATATTGAGGGCTGAAACATACAAATAAAATCAATAATTACGTGCGCGCGTGTGTTCTCAGAACCCCACAGGTTTAGAATATTTGTTGCCGAACAAGCGTTTGTAGGTGTGTGTCTTGACCTGTTTACTTATGTTTCCAACAACACTGACCGGATCAATTAGACGCCACGGTGAGTAGAATTCTTTTTTAACAAGCTGTATCACAATCATTGTTGAAAAGATCACTAGGTAGGCAGCTTCATATAGGCGAGAAAAGCTTGTAAAGAAAGTAACTATATTTGTAAATTTTTGATACTTAGAAAGTGGTTTATTTCTCCTGGACAAAAACGTTCCCCCCCCCGTTATCAACAAGAGAACTCCATTGAGCATGACACCATAGTAATGATAAAATAAGGTCAGTAAACTGGAATTGAGCCCGCCAAGGAGATCCATCGGAACCGTTACGCAATCCCCACCACACTTGAAGTATTCAAAACAGACTTCCCGCAGCAGATCTGTGTTGAAGACAGTGTATAGGGCCCAGGAAAGGAGATTGATGCAACTGCTGTGGCTATAGCGATAGCGTGAATACTTCAGAATGGCGTCCTGAATGTGATCCTGAATGATGGACGCATGGATGAAATCATCTGATCGCATGTGGGGAATATCTTTAAGGCTGTTGGCGAGGCAGAGAGCATCCCGAAAAGCGCATGTCATCCCACCGCCAGTAAGGGGGTTCCGTTGGTCATTGTGGTCGCCAATCCCGACATAGCCCTTAATGGAAGGAAAGCTAGGAGGACATGCCGCGACGGGCACGGTCTGAATATTCGATGTCTCTGAAACAGCGTGAATGAATTCCTTACGCATGCCCTCTGGCAGGGAGGGAGCTACCTCCTCCAGAAGCCACTCACAAAACTTAGTTAGGCGAGGGAGCCTCGCATACTTGGTGATCACCAAAACACGCACCTCGTTGGGATCCAGGCGATAGCATAGGATAGTGGCGCTTTTACTCGAAAAGATAGTGCCGTTCTGCTCAATAGGCAACGTTGCATTTTTAAGGATGATTCCTGTAAAGTTAGAGTGGTAATCGGCAACCGGCGTATAGTGCTGGTAGCGCGCTCTCCACATTGATGCTCCCCCATCACACATGACAATCAGCGGGGCAGTTGCAGTCTTCGTCAGGTAGGATACTTTGCCAGGTTTTGGTGGATCGACACGGAAAGGATTCTCGGGTTCGTGGTAGTCTTCCACAACAGTGTACTCAACCCCATAGGCCCGCTCATAGCACGTGTGTCCTTCTGTCAGAATTGTGTTCACAGTACCTTCCACCATCGTAATATGTTCCCTGCAATTTTTATATATAAACTCACGCAAGTTCTGCACAAAATCACCAAAGTGAAACGACACACCTTGTATCCCACGCCGAAAGGAAAGCTCTAACTGCCTACCACTAGTATCAGTCACAACATAGCCCTTACACGGCATGCCAATGGATGTAGCGCATTGCTCCATGCCAAGAACCTTGAGTGCCCCAATGCCACCTGGCTGTAGGAGCTCACCAACAATGCGGTCAGGCTTTGTGAAAAGCTTTCTTTCGACAAGAAGCACCTTTCGGCCTTGGTCTGAGAGGGCTTTTGCAATAGCTGGCCCTGCGATGCTCCCACCTACAATTATAGCATCATAATCATAATTGATACGCGCACGATAGCACTGAAACCTTGAGATCGCCTTGTTGACATGGTAAATAGTACCAAGGATGAAAGCAAGTGCGAGGAGAAAAGGTACCATATGTGATTTTTATCCTCTCAAAAGAAAAAAAAGCAACCAAAAATTTTGATTGGATTTTTGGGGAGTGAATGTCTACCAAATAACCTAAAATAAATTTTGTATATTGAGGCCTACAGCAACTCCCTCAGGATGTATTTTGAGAGCTTGGGGAAGTTGCAAAGTGATAAAAGTGAAAATAATGTATTGATTTAACTAATAGATCTTCACTGCATTTATGAAATGGACATCTTTCCATTTAACGAGTATATCCAAAAAGAAAAAAAAGATGAGACGGAGAAATCAGAATACGGTCGATATTGGACGAATATAGTCAGGATCAGATACAATGGAAATAATACAATAACCCAAAAGAGTGTAGAGAAAAGCCTCCTTTTGTATAAATGTATGAGATCTAGCGGAAATCCACAAGACATTTCTATGAATTTTGGAAGAGCAAAAACATTATCATATGTACCAGAATGTCTATTCTATGTTGCTATCTCTCTGCCGAAGTTCTTCAAATGAAGTAAAAGTGTGGTTGCTTTGTTATTTCATGAAAAGCTTAAGAATGTGAGAAGCTCATCCCATTCAAACATTAATCACTTCTTCGTCATGGTGTCTCAGCCTCTCTGTCTCCCTATATGGGCACCACAACACCCTCTTTATCACGTTTACATGCATGAACATGTTAAACTTTCGCTGAAATAAAGACAAATACAGAACACTACAAATGTGAACACAGATGCTACTGCCGTCTAGAGTGTTGTTTCTTCCATAATCGGACGCAACGCACCCATGTGCTCGCCTGCCATTACATCGCACGGGAAGTTGACGGACACCTCCATCTCCGGGAACATCGCGTTAAGGACGGTCTGCACACTGTTCATCGTCGCCTCCACATCACTGGCGACCTGCCGATACACCGACTGATGGCAATCCACCCACACACAGTCATGCACGGTGTTGGTAAGCACCGCAAGACCGTTATAGTTTTCGTGCTCAAGAAACTTTCGCCACAAGATGCCTAAAATAATCTGCACAACCTCACCCGCAAACCCCTGTACTGGATAATTCTTCAGATGTGTTGGGGAAAAGTTAGTCGACTTTCTAGTTTGAGGACGGCGCCACTGCATAGAATCTGGAATGTCGGACTCGGTGAAGACGTATCGGCTGCCCGTGAGCACGGGGAACATGCCCTTAAAAAATTGGTGCCCCTTCAAATTACGGGCGCCGTTCTGTAAAGAAGCATCATAGTGGTTTACAGAAAGGGTCACCATGCGGTTGAAGACTTCTACATTTCGGTAAGTTTCATCCTCCTTTTCAATCAGCATGCGCACCTGGTCCTGAGTGAGACCCGTACTCTGACTGATCATCTTCACACCGGCACCGTATTGACGCTGAAAGGAAAATATTTTAGCCTGCTGCCGTAGCTTCACAAACTCAGGCTCTTTATTCTTTTTTGCTCTCAGCAGCACATCGGTATATTTAAGATCTGGCCGCATCATGGTAACACGCTTACAATGGAAATCAACGTTGTGCCTCAAATCCTCCAGCATCTGCTGGTCATTGGCTAGAACCGCCAAGGCAACAACCTCAAGTTGCGAGTAGTCCGCCTCAATGCACATCCCGTTAGCGCCATAACGGCTAATAAACATGTCTCGAAGATTCGATTTACCCTCTGTGGGAATGTTTTGGCAATTTGGATTAGCACTCGCTAACCTTCCCGTGTTAGTTTTGTTATGAATGAGCTCGTGGTGAATACAGCTGTCGATGGAATGGACGAGGGATACCATACCCGTACCACCATCGGTGCTCTCGTAATAGGTTCCAATAAGCTTTTCGAGCGCGCGCAACTCAAGGATAACACCTGCAATTTTATCCTTGTGAGTCTTGTTGAAGTATTTTAGCGTATCCTCGCCGACTTGCAGTTGACGTGTCGTAGCGCTACGAAAGTGTCGCGTAATTTGCTCTGCTTCAAGCTCATTAGGAACGTACACAGCCAAACGGCCTTTGATATTGATCTCTACCACGTCATCATGCGTGCAGGGAACTGTAAAGCAATCGTAGACCGTCCCTACCGTTCTACCAACAAGACACATCAATGATATGCGTTTCCGCTCCTCAGCGGAGAGTGAGTTGTAGTAACCAACAAACGCGCGCCTCGGGCGAAGAAGCACTGGAAGATCCTCATCCGCCCTTATATTAACTTCAGACCTTGAGCCTTTGCACTTTACCTTGTCAGGGATCAAGGCTTCCCGCTGAAGCACAGAATTCGCTATTTGAAGAAAAATGTCTATGTACAAGTTACACCACTCCTCAGGCTTCATGTTAACCTCCTGGATCAACTTTCTCCTAAAAGCCTCGGCAGCGCTTTGACGAGTTCGGCAAGGCGGTGGAAGAGCTTTTGCCGGAATAACCGGTATGTTCGCGCTCGCACCGCCCGTGCGCGATTTGCCAGTGCCTGATTTAGAGGCCCTTGCTGCCATCGGGGTCTCCTCGCCGTAGACATGCTTGTAGTACGCCAGAACCTGTACAGTATCCGCGATGTGGATGACGTAGCGCTGACTTACGTCCACTTCCTCAACGGAGCTATCTGAGCGTCTCTCAATATAGCTTGCCAGGGTTGGATCACTTTTCAGGTACGATATAAAGGTAAAATTAGCGTCCCGGGCAAAGATAGTAACCTGGGCCTCAGTAAAGGCCCTATTGCCACCCAAGCCCTCATCGTCCACCGACGTAATTACATCAGTATATTTCCTGACCTGTTCCGTAATAAACTTCTCCAAAGCCTCCCCTTTTGCCGTGTTTTTGATCGTCTCGGACTCACCTGTTATAGGGTTTTTAATGAAAAGACGTTCAATCGTATTATCGGCATTAAGCAATAAGCTGGCAAAGAAAAAGATATGACGACGTGGGAGGAGGTTGGCTAACGCAGACATCTCCCCTTGACCTTCGGGAGTGGCACGCGGGGTGGCAAGCATCCCGCGTTTCAGTGAGTCCACAAGAGTGGAACTCTTCCTAAAGTTTGACTGCTTCATGTAGCTGTCAAAGTACGCCTTGAAAATGCGAGTTCCCTTTTCCAGCGGCATCCCTGCTATGATGGCACACTCACTGATGCTAGAGGAGTTCACTGGGGGCCTCAAAAAAACTCCTTTAGGGAAAAGATCCTTGGTGTACATCTCTGGCGGCACAAAGAGGGTGTGCCGATCAAACACTTCTCCCGGTAAAGGCTTGCTTTCGCGTGAATTAGTATACAGCTTAAGCTTACCACCAAAGAAGAAAGCAATCAGATGTTGATTGGATGACCAGTTAAAGAATTTGCGACATTCAAGGGGAATTTCGCCGGGTATGAAGCTCTCCAGATCCTTTCGCAACGTCGTAACTTTGGTTGCAAGCTCGTTGCTCTGTGATATAGCCAGCTCCACGTTTGTTTTGAGTCCGTTGTACTCCATTTCAGTAGTGCACAGTATCGCTTCCATGCGTGCATTGCAGATAATGGCCTGACGTTGAGCTAATGCGCGCTCGCGGTGCTTGCAAAAAATCAACTCGGTATTCTCCAAGTCACCATTAAGGTACTCCGTGAGTATTGAGTAAGGGATCGAGTAGGTTTCCTTTCCTTCCGCCCATGCCCGTTTAACAACATCAAGCTTAAGAGTTTGGCCACCGTAGCTCTTAGCGATGTCCTCCAGACCCGCGCCCTGCCCGAGCTTTACCTCTTGACCACTTAAGAGATACTCCCCGTACATGGTATCCCAAATTCTCCCACCACGCTTCAAAAATTTTCTTAGCTCGGCATCACGCCAGATGTGCAGAAGATCGAATTTGATGTTGTGCCCAACAATAACGGTGTAATCGTTGAGCGGCGGTAGGAAAAGCGAGTCTTTCGACGACTTCTCGACCAGTTGATTTGTGCTCGTCACAACGGGATCGTCATACCGTAGCGCCACGCTGCGATCAAAATAGCGACTAGGCATGAACACGTTGCCCTTGTAGTCACGTGCACCCGACAACACAACATAATTTTCCTTTATGAACGGGTTTGCCACACGCTTGTAGCGCCGAATCGTAGTCGTTTCCAAATCAAGGATAAGATACCGCTCCAGAAGCTCACAAGCCTTTTTCTCTCGCTCCAATCGACCCGGGGCTTCGTAAATCTTTGAACGCCACTGCTGCAGTCTGAAAACCACCTCGGCATCGTTCACATCGACTTTGTTAAGAAAGGTTGAACTAGCTACACTAGTCACCATGGATTCCCGCTCCTCCTGGACGCGCTTTTTCACGGTGTTAAGCGCGCTCTGCGCATCCTCCGGGATGGGGATGCTGTTGGCCGCCGTCATAATAGCCGGCGACACCTTCTGAAGTCGATCCGAAAACAGCTTGGTGGCAAGAGCCGTAAAGCCCCTCTGTAGGTACCCGTCAATCTTCTCCTCATCCTTGCGTGTGTGCTTCTCGGGAAAGCAGTTGTCACGGATGGTGCACCAGGTGCTGCGTGGGTCCGATCCCTCTGTGAGGCCCTTCGAAACGGAACGGCCACCAAGGTACGGTGCAAGACTGGAAATCTCCGCCACAAAGAAAGGGCTCTTTGGCCGACACGTACGAGCGAACGCCACCAACTGCGAAGGGCGGGTTCGAACAGTCGGAATAAAAAGCGTGATTGAGGAGCTCCCCTCACCGTAGAACAGTGTAGTGAGTGCAGTCAACTTCGAGGTTTCTTCGGCAAGGCTGCGAATCATGTGCACCGTCTGTGATCGTTTCTGTGCTGAGTAAACAGTCGCGATCATTGTGTGGCCCTCTGCAATTGTGCCTTTGCCAACTCGCACATTCAGATCGACTACAAACACATTCACCGCCTTGACAACACGACGAACAATCTGCTCAACAGGGTTGAGGGTCTTACGACTACCTGGCGTACCGAATCGTTTGTGGACATTAAACAAAATGTACCAGTTGAGTAAAGCGCTGCGTGCGGCACCTAGCTTCGACACCTCCTCCGCAGATTGATAAGCACCTGAATTAAGATCAAAAACACTTGTATTGGTTGTAGTGGCATCGAATTGCTTACGTGAAAGCAGGAAGGCTGCCTCCTCGAGGCTGCCTGGAAGGTCTACTCCTTTCACAATCTCCCGCTGTGCTTGGAAAGCCATATAAGTAATACTCCACGTGTCAGGCGCTGCCATCACACGTTTTTGTGCCTTTTCCACCACCTGTGTGATTGCATCCCTCAATTCTTTCGAGGAATCACTTGCAAAAATTAACGCTGCGACGTACTCGTCGTTAACTCTGGCATCAATCCAAACAGAACACTTCCAGATAACGTTCTCAGTCATTGTGACCAATTCATTCGTAGTGGCGGAATACACAGCGTATACCGATCTTGAAGGGTCATAAGACATTGTGAGTAAACAGTACTGTGATTTAGCTAAAAGTACATGCTCCCCGTGCTCATTGAGGATAGGTGAAAAGGGATTCTGTCGAGCTGGAAATGGTACCATGATACTCGAATCTTGTATCTTATTATTACTAGTTCCCCAATTGGATGCCGCTGCCACCTCTTTATGTAGCGGCTGTTGCACTCTAGCAGGCAGCGTGTTGGGGCTTGAAATGCTGTCAATCTGCTGGTGTGATAACGCTGTTAAAGCAGCGGGATCCGCAAAGTTCCCAGTTGTGATCCAACGTGGGAAGTAACACACTCGCATAGTATGCTGTGCAGCCTGCAACCTTGAAAATGAGCATCGAAGAAGTCGTTCTCTCATATCCGGTTCTTTAACAATTCTAACGGGTGTAGAATACCCTTTTTCCCTCCTTCCAAGTAATGATGGGATACCAAGAAGGTGAAGATGCTTAAGACGTCCAGAAAGGAGGACTTCTTGTCGAAAATCCCCAAGAAGGAGATGCAAAGTGATGGAGTAAAATAACTTTAAGTGTCAGTATAGATTCATAGGAAAGAAAAGGGATAAAGCAAACTGAATGAACGAAGGAATAACAATGGGAAAAGATAATATGACAGAGTATATTGTCCGTCAATGAATCATATTCCTTGGAATCACGCATAAACGGGTTCACATATGTTGTTTTGCCATTCGTGGTTAGAATTTGATGTATACGCGGGGTTCACTCGTATTATGAAATATGGTACAGATTTTGGGTGCGACTTTGGCGTTTTTGTGCTTACTCTTGCATATCTCCTTCGGTGTAGCTGGCGCAACCTTATCTAAGGATAAAACACACCAAGCATGAACATCTCAACCCTATACGCGCAAATAGATATCTCTAAAATAGAAGAAAAAAAAGGCGTGAGGTGTATGAAAAAAAAAGATGCAAGGTGGTCAGATCATTCTTCCCCCACGTCAGTTTTGTAAATAGATAAAAAATAGTATCAACGATTAATATGATTCATATGATTAAAGTTGTCTTGTATTATTGAACATGTCGATAATATACATAGAGAAAGACGTAATTACATCGTGGAAGGAAGTTCTCAAAAGGAATGAAAACAAAAACAACGTTATAAATAATCTTTTTACTAACATAGTGCCTCTGCATTTCATAAGAAAACTGGAAAGTAACGAAACAAAGACGTGAATGATGGCTCCTTCCGAATATTTTCTATCTAAAAACACGTCAACCGCCAATATTCGGAGCACACCAAAAAGTGGCCTCAACGTTTAGATTCTGTCTTCCCTCTATTACTCAACCACGTCAAGCAAAAGCCCAACGCCAGCTATCACCCATTTACGAGCAGGCTGCTTAGTCTTGAGGAAGAAACTGACAACAAAACCCGGACCACGGGCCTGGGTTTTGTAGACAGGACACTCATATTGATCACGGCGATCAATCTTGCTGAGAGGAAGGGAACGCACCTGCATAATTGGCATCGGTGGATAAAGCTCCTTGAGACGGCTATCCTCAATGCAACCCGTAGTTGTGTCCCAGCGTGCACCCTCCATTGAGAGACCACAGATATAGCACCCGTCGCGTGCGCTGGTCTCGATCTGGTCCGCAGACTTCTTCAACACGTCCACAACGAGTGCCATCTGGTCGAGGTCGAAACTGTTGATTATGGAGATAGTTTGCATAATGGCAGTCAGAAAGGACATGGGATTAAAAAAGAGAGCTATGTTAGTCACCTTAGGTGTCTGCAAGTCCACATTCCAACTGATAAGCTGCTCGTTGCGGGCGAGGAAGTTGTCAACCCAAGACCCCAACATGCGCTGGGACATAAAGGACACGCGGGCCCACTTCTCTGGCATCTTATCGAGGAAGATCTGATCGAATAGCTCCTGCATGCCAGATGTCATGGAAAGGGCACCTTTTAGACCAAGGTTAAGCTCCTCTAGTGTAACCTTCAGAGTATCAATGAGGAAATTCATGCGTTCACATTCTTGATAGAAAACGTGCTGCTGTGGTGATCGGTCATCCTCGAGGCGCTCCGCTAAGTCCTGAAGGTTGTGTGGTTCTGGCAACCGCTCGCGAATTTCATCAAGCTTTTGCTGCACAATGTCCTGTGGGCTGAGCATATTGCCACCAACGTGCTTCTTGGGCTGCAGCTCATTAATAGTTTTGAAGAGAACATCCGCCTGCGTCGTACGATAGTTGATCTCAGCATTAGGATGAAGACCATAGAGAAGCGGCGATTCAGTCGGAAATTCCCTGTCCTGCGTAAGCCACTGCATGTATTCCTGGTAGCTGCATGGATTGGGTATCAACAACCCTGGCGCAAGTTGTAGGCCATCGCAACAGTCTGGGACGATGAAGCTCTTGAGATACGCCATACACAGGACACGATCCCAGTCGTCTGTAATATGTCCTCCGTACATGATTTCACCAAAGACATAGCGCAGATCTTCCCAAGGTACCCTTGGGCGGTCCTCGATATAGTTGGCAGCAACCTCCATGCAAGTTGTAAGGTCACCAGAATTGAAGGGGTAACCACGGTTCCAGCCAAGAGGGCCAAACTTCTTGCGCTCCACCACAACAGCATGAAAAAAGCACATGGCAAACATAATGCAGCGGTACTCCGTAGGCTTCGCACTCTTTTCCCACGGCTCATCACTAAAGTTAGAGAGGGCACGCACAATGTTTTGACGAATGCCCGTAGGCGGCTCCGATGTTAGCTTCAATGAGCGCTGTAGAACGCCAATCGGGATCACCTCCGACGGCTCCGCAGTGAGGAAGACACGGAAGTCAGGGTGACCCTTCTGACCCTCAAACGGGATCTCTTCATCAGAAACATGAATAGCCACCTCGCCCTTCTGCTCCTGTTCCTCGTCGACCGCCTCTCCGTCCTCGTTTCTAGTACCACTCTGCTCACCTAGGGACTCGCTGTCGTCACTACCGCCACTCTCACGGTCCTTGTCGGTCGCGGAAGGCGCCTCAGTAGCATTAGCTGCCGCGTTTGCCAACTCGGCTGCCTTTCGCTCTGCAACTTCCTTGCGAAGCTGCGCCATGCGCGTATATGTCTCCGCATATGTGTCCAATCGACGCTCTAGGGTACGAAGCCACTTTTCAACAAGGTGAATATTTGATAGCATTGCCCAACCACCCTCAATGAAGCACCTCTCTAGTGCACGGTCCGCTACCACCTCCTGGCCCTGGCCGAGGGACACATTGTAGAGCTTCTCATTATCATAGGTAAAACCAAGCTTGCGGCCTAGCTCCTCTACGGACTTAATAGGATCCACGCCGGGTGAAAGAATAAAGAAGAGCGGAGTGGAAGTGCTGGAATTGTTAAAGGAGACTGAAATGTCGACCGCCTGATCCGAAACAAAGAAACGGCCAATCGACTTGCTCACAAAGGCCTCAAGGGCAGCCGTCAGGCGGTCAGGTCGCAGGCAACGCAAGACCAGTAGCCGCTCAAAGTCGCTCAAGCTCTTCCACTCGGCGGGCATTTTCTCATTCTCTGGCTTCTCTGTCTCACACCATTGCATCCAGCGGTTGTTTTCCGCCATGTCACCTGGAAGGAGACTGAACTCTGGGGTGGAGCCCTCAACCTCGGCGAGGGCCTGTACCGCATCCCATGCGGGCTGGGTACACCATTCCGCCACAGTCTCGGGCCTCTCCGTCCCAGCCTTCTTCTTTCCTCGCAGCAGGAAGTCCAGCTGCAAAGGGTTCGTTTGCTTGGAACGGCTAAGAATCGAAAAGGTTAGCAAGCTCGAGAAAATGAGCTTGTGACGCTCGAAAAGACCACGAGAAACGTAGGCAAACACACTTTCAGTAATAGAAGTGGTGACATTTTGCACACGCGCCTCCACGTTCTTCTTGTTTTCTGGATGTGCCGCCGCCATAAGACCCTTGTTGAAGACAACCATGAAGGTGTCTAAAGAATACTGATACATGTGATCAATGCGCCAGAGCTGATCCATTTGAAAGAAGAGCAGCGAGCCGCGCGCTGCCACGTCAGCATAGCTCAGGCGGTTTTGTGCAATATCTTTTTGCGTTGCCACCGCCTGCGTAAAGGATGCGTTGATCTCCTTCGCCTTTTTCTTTGTGTTTTCAAGGTTCTCAATAAGGGTGATATTCTCAAGGATATCCCCAGTGGCGTTTGTTAGTTCATACAAAAGGCCATCCTCGCATTGTTGTAGCTCAATCGTCATAATGTTCATCTGTCGCAACAGCGCACCACGCCGTTTCTCCAGGTCAGGACGTTCTTGGCTCACCACGACGGCCAATAACTGATCCTCCAGGCCATCCTCGGTGACCATGAAGTTGATAAGGGTCGTCTGCGCATTCACCTCTGGGCCATAGTGCGGGTTGCCCAACTTTGTTTGGAGTATAAGACGGAAGTTAGGATTGTACTCTACCTCAGAGGCACCGAGCTTGATAAACTGTTTACCGCCCTTCCTAAAGACCTGGCGACTAAGAACTCCATCGAGCACCGGCTCAATGAATTCACCAAGAGACTCAATAAGACAAGGAGTGCCATCCTCGATGCAACTCTGCAACACATGCTGCCAGTTCTTTTGGGAGGTTTGAATAACGCGCAGCGAGTTCTTTTCTTCGCGAGTGCGAATCCAGCACACACCCTGCAACTGCGGATCGATCAGTAGTGGCCATCGCAAGCAGTTTGTCATGATAGCACCGTTCTCGGTCGAAACGCGATCCGACGGTAAGCCCTCATTATTCCAGGAGGCAACTGCAGCTTCGGTGGTAAGCACATCCATGGTTGGATCCAAAGATTCGGTCATGGGTATGCCCAGCTGCTTTATGTATGGAACCCACTCTCCATGCACGATGCGCTCACGGAAGGCCCCTGAAAAAGGACCAATATACGACACAAACGAGGAGGACAAAAGAACATCACCAACTAACAGCGAAGCAGTGTGCTTAAGGTCGTTGATGGTGTTCCCCCAGCGGACACTCTCGTCGGACAGCCCGGAGACAAGGCGCTGCGCTAAGTTCATTTTCATCTGCGTTTTGTCCGCCTTCGCTTTGATAAGATTCGCTTCAGCGACGGCCTCATCATACTGGCTCACGAGCGCATTGAGTTTAGAACGGAGGTCAGCCACCTTGTCTTGAATCTTCTTCAAAGCAGCTCGGCTCGTCGTGAGTCGCTGTTGCGCCTCGGCAAGACGCTCTTCTTTGGGTCGAACCTGACAACGAACAATATGGTAACGATTCATACCAATCGCCCACTTGCACAAACCGGCTGCAGCAAATGATTTGAACCGTATGTTATCGGGATTGAAGGCAGGATTGGTGATGTACACCTGGATCTGATCAATGCAAGCCTGCGGGATGTTATTGACATCGAAGTTTCGCAATTCTGTGAGAAATCGATCCACCTGGTTCATCATTTTCTTGCACTCGTTCCACGTGCGTTGCTTCATATTAGGAATAGCCCTGGGGTTCGCTGTCAGCACAAGTACGCAAATGGCAACCATCTGAACATCTTCTGGTGGCTTTCCGAGGTTCTTGAGCTCAGCGATGGAGGCCTTGTCAAGTGTGTCGAGGGCAGCCAAGGCTTCCTGAACTAGTGGCTGTGCCTTGGCCAGGTCCTCCTGGCATTGCTGTTCGAACGAGGTAACTTCCTCGACAATCTTGTTAGTCTTGCTCTCCTCTTTCGCGGCAATCGCATTCTGTTCTTCCACAATAGACTTCTCGCGTCCAACGGTTTCTAACAGCGCATTGGTTTTCTGACGGGCCTCTTCAACCTCGACACTTTCGCGATGAAGCACTTCTTGCAACGCCTGCACCTGCACTCCAGCACCTTTGATTTTGTTAATACCGTTAAGTAGTCGCTGGGTTTTATCACTATTTTCGTTTCGTTTTTTAATCAGTAAATCTTTATACAGAGCGATGAGCTCTAGGAAAGTTTTTGGTGTTGTATACGCATAACGCTTTTCCTGTGCATAGTACTCCTCGCACATCTCGGTCACCTTCACCTGACAGAAAGACATGTAATTGGCAATATTAGCGGTTGCCTCCTCGCCACCAAGCTCGATCTCGGAGAGAAAGCGCTGAGCCACAGACCTGAGCGCTTGTTCAGGCCAGCTTAGGAACCAGTCGATTACAGTGGTGTTAGCGAGCGCTGGGAATTGGCGACACCACCGCGCGAAGTTCTTACCCACAGGAGAAAAGCATAGGATAATGTGCAGGTTTGAACGGACTTTGTGAATGAAGTATTCCCAACACACATCGGGATTGGAGTACTCCGTTACGCCAGATGCCTTCACCTCGTTCACAATGGAAGCAACAATGCCATCGCGCTCATCTTGGTTAAAGAGCTCCGGCACGTTTCCACTGCTCAGCATGTCATTCAAGTACACAAGCATCTCGAGTGAAACAACTTGTGTGTCAGTGAGAATAAATGCAAAGGGGTAACCCTTAAGACCGCACTTCCGATATAACTCCTGCATGTCGTTACGGAAGTCAGTGATGTCGTAAGTGCTAGTAACCAAAATCTGAAAAACGTCGTGACCGTTGATGTACGATGCGAGACGGGCCAAGGACTGCTTACCGGAGCCGCCGATTCCCACAAGAAAAGCATTGCCTCTCGGGTTGGATGTGATACGGGAAATGCGACAGACGTGCTCAATAGCTTGGTTGAAGAGAACGAGATTCATCTCAGCGTAGTTATCATTATACTCAGCTAACTTTTTACGCAGAAACGCGCCAGCCTCTTCGTAGTTGGTTTCGTTGTAGACATTCTCCTCACCTCCCTTTGTGGTGTAGAATGGGGCCCAAAGCAATGGCTCCGCCAAAGCCTCTTTCGAGCTCACATCACTAAAGCCCGCGCGTGTGTAGACCTCAAGCATCAAGGCGTCAAATCGTTTCATATCCTCATCATCTCCCATTCGGTCACGGAAGGTGCGTCTGCACTCATGCACCCACAACCGCACCAGCTGCACGCTTTTTGTGTGTAACTTAGGGTCAGACTTACACAAACCTTGGAATATGTTAAACATTTCTCGCATATTCCATTGATAATGGAACTTGATCGCAGTGGGAAAGAATTGCTTCACGACGTTGTAATGAAGCTCAATGGTTGCATTTGTGATCAGTGTTGTAAGGGTATCTCGAATATCACGTGGAAATGCCTTTGTATGGCTTTGAAGAATCTGCCCATAAATGCTAACCAAGTCATCTCTATCAGGCATGTTCGTTGAGAAAACGGCGAAATGCCGCAGGAGGCGATCAAGAATCGTGAAGGTACCGGACTTGGGATTCATAGCGCCAACGTACCGCACGTCAACGATTTCCTTCTGAACAATCTTAACACGATCGTACCAGAAACCATAGCCAACATGCTGCTGCAAGAGCGCTATCGCCTCCTGTGTGCCGTACTTATCGGGCGCAGGCATGTTCATATCATCTAGGAAAAAGATGAGTTTCTTGCGGTTGAATGGACCATAAGTACGGCCAGATCGCTTTTCGAGAGACTGCTCCATAACGTTTTGCAACCCAGCGGATGTCGTACGGGCGTTAAAAGCAATCGTGCGGCAAAAGATCTTTGAGTTGTCAAGAGAATGCAGCTTGGACATGATCAAGTTGGTTTTTCCAGTACCAGCCGTACCCACGAGCATGACGCCCCTTGCGTTATCAATGAAAAGGCTCATCAAGTAGGACATGCGAACCGTGTCAGTGGTTTGTACGGACACCGTGGACAACTGGACATCAGGGTCGGGGACATACGATTGGACCAGTTCAGCCCAAGGCTTCCACTCATAAACCGGCACACCATTCTCGTCTTTGGATTTATCAATATAGAAGTCAAAGATAGATCCATTTTCGCTGATCTTCATATTAGGGAACTCCTTCTTCCAATAGTTTGAAAAGTTGAGACGCATATCGATTCGGCCATCTGAGCTCGGCAGTGGACCGCCAAAGGCCCAAATAAGGGCAAAGACAAAGTACTTTTCATACGCTTCAAATGCGTTAGGGTGCTTCAAAAATTCATCTTGAGGCATTGTGTTCAAAATACCCTCAAGGAGGAAGCAAATCGTCTGCACAACGTTAATATCCATGATTGGCACTACCGTCCGCATCGAACGATTCCAGAACTCAAAAACGATCGGGACATATTTATCAAATAAGTTGTCCAGAATAGTGGCTTCGCGTCGTTCACGCGTCGTTATCCATTTGTCCTTGAAAGGGCCCCAACCCAGATCACTCTCATTGATATATATTACACCAGCACGTGAAACAGTGGCCGGTGAAGCATTGCGAAGATGCGAAACTTCAAATATCATGCGCATCGAGTCAGTTAAAGGTATGCGTTCGTTGGAGACGAGGGTAAGCATCTTGTTATCGTCCATAACGGTGTTCATCGACTCAATCCACTCGGCATCGATAATACCATCCAGCACGATCCACTTCATGTTTTTCTTTTTCTTGGACTCCACTGCGTAGTCGCGGAAGATGCTCGAGAGGATGCCGTCACGCCACTCTTTTTGCGGCGTAAAGTAACCGTAGAGCTCATTAGATGAAATAGCCTTGGGATTAAGACAAGAAGCTACTGCTTTCGCCTTCCACTCATCCTGGTAAAGTTTGGTAAGCGCACCCATAAGGCATCGCCAGCATTCAGTCTTGCCAGAGCCAGTGGCACCTAGAATGAAGACAGAGTGGCGGACATGTAACAGCTCCTCATACTGCACGCACTTGAGTATAAAAATGTCATTTTCGCCCGGCAGATTTCCCTGCTCCTTGCAGACCTCCTTACATGCTGCTACCAGAGTCGGCTTGTCCTTCTTGGGGACATCCAGGTTCGGAAACAGGGAGCGGATGAGGCCCATGAACACATACACATCATCCTTACTCAACTTAGCCATATTGGTGTCGCGCAGCGCGCGCATTAGCACGTTGCGCTCCGGCAGACCCGGGTCACCACGCTTGAGAGCGCCAGCAATATAAAGTACTGACTTCACAGCACGCAAACCCCAATCGTAGTGATCTTGTGGTGACAGTAACTCCTTATTTAGGCGATACAGTGTCACAAATTTGAGGGCGAGATCCTTGGCATCACCAAAACCCTCCGCGGCTAGCATGATCTCGCAAATGTTCTTTAGATCCGGCACGCACATGGCACAAGGACGAAAGAGTGATTTAATGTTCTCAGGGAGCTCAGTACGACCAGCATAGCCGGGATTCATCGTGATCCACATGCCCACAGACGGCTTAATGGAAATCTCTTCACTAATAAAACGGAAGCGCTTCTTCCGTTCCTTGAGCGCATTAAGAATAGAGCCTACCTGTGTAGCTACAACAGAAAGAACCTCAATGGAGATACGGTTGAACTCATCGAAGCAGCCCCACGAGCCAGACATAGCCAATCCTTTGAAAATCTGGCCAAGAGTAATGTAGTTCATTTGATCAGAGCAATTAAAAACGTAACAAGCAACTCCCATGTTGCGGGCAAGATCCTTGGTAGTTTCGGTTTTACCTGTTCCAGCGGGACCAGCAGGAGCACCACCTTGTTTCAAGCGAAGAGCTTGCGTAAGAGTAATATAGCAGCGATCCGTGAGTTTTGTGATCACAAGACACCCACACAGTCCAATATATTCGCAGTCATTGATGAACTCAGCATCGGCTATGCGGATCTCATTACCCCTAGTTTCCTCCCAATAGTAACGTAACTGAGATTGCCAACTGAACGACTCCACTGAGTCAACACGCTCGTCGACCATGGCCTGGACAATATCACGGTTGTGTACGTCAATGGTAATGAGGTGTACCAGCATCTTGCGATCATTGGCAGAGCGTTCCAAGAGAACTTCCTTGATGAGGCTGTCAAGTTGAATTTTTTGACTCTTGAGAAGATCCTTCAGGCCCATATCATTTCCTTCTTCGATTCGAGTGAACGCCTGATGAACTTCAGTTGTGAACCAAATACGAGAGGCGACTATCACCGCCTGGCAAGGGTATTGGTATATCCACTCATTACGAGGTTTCTCAATGTAACTAGCATTGGCCTCCTTGATATGGTGCCGCACGCAACGTTTCATACACTTCACGATGCCTTCCAACCAAACTTCGACCTCACCCACACAGGCAAAGCTATCCACAAGAGCAACTCTCTCCCCTTGAATAGAAACCATTTCCCATGCCTCAATATCTCTGGCATTCGGGTGTGGGTTTTGGTCGAAAGTAAAGCTATCTACAGAGTCGATAATCTTACTCATATGGACCATCACTGCGCGGGGATCAGAGCCCTTGGAAAGGATATCAATGAGATCTGTGTCAGAGACGAAGAAGAACCGTGGAAATATCTTACGTTTGGTCTCGAGATAGTCTGCCAGCGCCTTTTCACACTTTGAAAGGATTGACTGAATATACGTCAAAGTCTGCTCCAGTTCTTGATCTCGAGCAAGATCCTCTCTGAGTTTGTTGGTGCAAATGACTTCGATGACATTGAGGTACCGATGGGCCTTATCCATCAACAAACGGAACACACGGTCCGCCTCACTAAAGTTTTTGGCGTCCTCTGGTAACTGAATTTTAATATCCTCGGAAAGGACAAAAATGGGGTAAAGATTCTGCCACTGTCTCTGGATCTCCATCCATCTGGTGATGCACGTGTCGACTAGACCAAGCTTTTTTTGCCAATCGATGACCTTTTGATAGAAGTATTCGACAAAGCGATCAGACAACATTGATGATAACGCATTGTTATCAGTCTCAAGCTGTTCTACTATGTCATCCACAGGCTCCAAAAGATAACAATCCATATACTCATCCTTCCTGTAGGTAAAGGATAGCTTCCCCCAGGCCTCAATGATTTTAGTGAGATTCTTCTCGATACGCAATTCCTTATCAGCCTTCTCAACGATGTTAAGAACCTCTTCCGAATAATTATGCAGACCAAGAGAAAAGAGTTTCTCAAGGGTGAAATCATTTGATGTAGGCTCGATAGTGCAGGGCTGCTTTGTGGCAGTGACTAACTCTTCCCAATGCCGAGGACGCATAGAAGGGGAACTGAGTGATTCACAAAGAGGGAGAGAAGTGCGCATATTGCGCACTTGTTCGTCCACACCTTTGAAAACGTCCCAACTTTTCACTTTCATAGGTTGCTGTTGCAACTGCTTGGAAAGTTTCTTGCATTCGTCCTCAAAATGAGAAATATCAGCGTTTTTGAAGGTTGAACGCATCCAATCCGTGAACTCTGAGATGACATGAAAGCTCAAGTCCCATACCTGCTTTAAAAGCATCAACTCTTGGCGACAAGAGCGAATATCTCGAAAATGAGAAATAGCCAGATCAAAGAGATCTTGAAGATTCTGCAGCTCCTTTGCTTCAGTCTCGAGCTCAATGAAATGGCTATACACGTGGTCAATTTCGTCATAAACAGAATCCCTCGAAATTGTATAAGTAAAAAGTGCATTTCGATGGAAAAAATCAACTTCATCCTTAATCTTGTTTTCAAAAAGGATAACACTTTCCTTGATCTTCTCTGCCTCACGATCTTGCACAATAGAGTTTTGAGCACGCGCGTTTAGTGCCTTCTTGTTGAGCGCAAACCATAGATCTGGGGCGGGCTTACGCAACTCCTCGAGCTTTTCAATCTTAGCCAGTTCGACTTCCGCATCAGGAGAGGTGCTAGCATGGATCTTTAGCATACGAATAGCAGCCTGAATCGGCGGGAACATACCGGTTGTCTCGCCAGTTTCATCCTCACCCATGACTTCCAAGTTACGCTTATGACAGCCACGAATCCAGCGCATGACTGACTTGAGGGAATCCACATCGCCATCCAATACCTCGACATCCAAACCCTTGTCAGCCTCCTTCATGAATGTGAACAACTCCTGAAGGTCACTCTTAATCTTCTCCATGAGATAATCAGAAAACATATCCCTCCACTTTTTGCAGATGTCACGTAACGCTATACGCAATGGCTTCACATCAATGGAAACAAACCCAATGCGATGACGGTCCTCAATCGAAGCAAGGCGATTACAAATGCGACCATACTCTGTTATAGCTCTGTCAAACTCTTGGAGACTCACCTCAAAGTATTCCTTAGGGCCCTGAACATGCATTATGCTACTTTCATCCACAGATAAGCTAGCACGGCGGTTCATTGAGGCATCTTTGTTGATAAACATATCAAAAGCCTCCTTCCGATTTGTGCTCCAGAGATGTTTGAATTCGTCGTAAATGCGACGATACTCCTCGCATGCTTCGTTGTTCTGTTCTAGTAGAATCATAATCTCTGCAAGAGACCGTTGTACCCCATCATTTTCGTGTACTTCGTCGTTGTATGATGTTGAACCATAGATAGGTTCAATCAAACCGGTGGCTTCCTCAATCCCATGAATGAAATTTTCGAACAACGTCTGAATCGATCGGGAACCCTCACCTCCTGAGGTCAGTGCTGGCTCAAACCTCGATTCAACTATTGGTCGCTCAGGAGTGCTCTTTGACAAGCATAATTTTATATCCACAAGTGGAATTCCATCCTGCTCAATAAGCCATTCCGGATTGATCTGCTTTTTTATTTTTTCAAGCGACTCAACAACAGTGGAGCACAACGACTCTTTTAATTCATAGTTGACGTATTCGAGGTACATTTGCCATATTTCGTTGTCCACACTTATGATACCCTTGCCAGAAGATGCCTTGAGCTCATTTAGAGTGCTGAGACTGTTCTGTATAAGTAAGTGGATTTTTTCTCCGCGAGTCTTAAGGTCTTTGCGGTACATTTGAATATGCTCCTCAAGGACTTTTCGTAGCTCAAGTTCTGTCATAGTGGTGTCACCGCGGCTCGGATTGAGAGGAAACAGAGTGTCGGCTTTCCTGTATTCCATAATTAAGTCTTTTATACCAACGACATTCAAGTGCAAAGTGGAAACAACTTTGTCGATCGCACCCACTTCTCTAACAGCCTTTTCGATGTATTCGTTTGAGGCAACTTCATCTTCCCAGCGCACATCGTTGATGGCACGCTTAATGTAGTTTTCAAGAGCATCTAGCTCCTCCTGAATGAGCGGACGTTCATCATCTTCACGGAGGCTCGCGTTGAGATTGTTATAAGTAGTGCATACATAGTCTAGCTTCAGCACCTGTGAACGATACATATCGCGCTTAGCGAAAATGGACTGTATCTCATTCGGCACCTCAAACATTTGCACACCAGTAGCGTTGTAGGAGTTCATGACCTCGAGATAATAAACTTCGCGCAATGTTTTCACAAGGATCGGGTCGAAATTAACCTTGAGCTGGTTGGAGCTGTCCAATGACAAAAGAGGAAGATGCAGTTTTTGGCTACTGATAGTGCCTACTTCAGAAGCCCACTGCTCGCTCTTTTCACTGATGTTGTTTTGCAGCATGGCACGTATCTTCATGTACAATAGCATCACCTCCTTGCCCTCCTCGCTCTCTAGAACGCTCTGTGAGAGCTCGACCACGCGATTGTAGCTCTCACTGATTCGATCCAGCAACGCCTTACTACGCACGACCGCTGAGGCAACTGGTGGCATATTACGGTACGCCCCGGAGGCGTCGCTCCAGTAGAAGATATCTTGTACTGCAAGGAGGTCCTGATGGAAGCTCTTGAGCACACCAACTTGCTTTTTCACCCACTCCTGTTGAACAAGGGGTCGGTCAATAAAGCCGTCAAATGTGTCTACGGCTTTGAAAACCTCTGTAATTGCCTTAGATTCCTCAATGGTGGTGATAAGAATGGTGCCGAGACGTTCCTCCAGCTCATGGATCGTGTGTTTTAACTTCTCATAGTCGCCGTCAAAAGACGTGTTTGTGATATCCAAAAGGTCGTAATTCACGCTGAAGAAGTTGCTAAGTGCAGTACTAAATTTTTCTTTGATATCTTCAACCTCCAACGTGAGCTGCTGACCACGTGTTCCGCCGATTTTCATATTTTCCATCTTGTCAAACAATAGCGCCGTTTCAATGATATCCAAGAGGTCATGGCAACGCTCTAGGAAAACGTCCAAACGGGCAAATAGGGCGGCATTCTGAAATTTCCACGGACGGGCCACTGATGCCACATACGACTTGTACTGGAAGTAGCACGATTTGAAATCACCACAGATGGCTAAAGTCGTACTCAAGCGTTCAATTACCTCCCTCTTTTCGAAGCCCCCTGCAAGCTCAGCTACGTTGATGTAGTCAGCGGCCATCTCAATAAGCGCATTACCCATCTCGCGTATCAAAAAAACAAGGCGGGAGGTAGTGTTGTAGAAGCCAGACTGCGTCCAAAGAACATACAAAAAATGAAAAAGCCGCTTGAAGATGCCACTACTGGCAAGTTCCACAAACGGCATGGTGGTGCGACTCTGCATGCATATCTGCTCAAACTCTGGAATCAAAGGCTTCAAATAGCGATAGTTATCAGAAGCCTCATAAGAGGCCTCTTTGAGCAAGTCCATGAGCTGTTTGAACGATGTGTAATAGCTACTGTTTTCCCGTTTCAATATGACTAGAATTTTGAGCGATTTCACAGAATACAGCTGCTCCTCAAGATTCATCAGATTTTCCGACTTGTTCTTCCAAAACGTAATTTCGTCCACAGGAGAAGGGTAACGGCCAGTCCGTGTGGCCGCCGCCTCTAACTCCTCTGGAGAAGAAGAAATAGCTGCCTTGATTTGAGAAGACCACGCTACAATTGAATTTTCAAGTGTATACAGCAACTCCTTGTCGATTGCAGTGTCGTCGATGCTTTCAGGCAACTCTACATTCGGTACGGGAAGCAATGTCTTACCTTGAGAGAGGCCAAGGGTCACAAGAAGTTTGCCTATAAGATCGTTGGTATCACTCATAAGCTCGTCAACTGCCACGTCTGGGATGCTGCTCATGTTGCGTTTGTCAGCCTTCAAGATTGAAGCGTAAACATCACGCGTAAATGTGTTGATGGAGCCAATAGTGTCTGGGATTAAATCACCAAACGTGATGACATCCTTCATGTGGTTGTCATCCGTTATCTTTTCACGTTTCATTTTGCTAAAGTACATGCCCTTCTTCTTAATTTCATCAGGGGCATCATTCCTTGCCAAAAGTGTGCCACCGGATACTTGATATACATAGAGATGCTGTGCATCTGCAACGTCAAGGAACTCAGCAATTTGCGCACGATTTTCTTCATTATCCAAGAACTTTTTTGAATCGATTGCCTTTAGCCGAAGCGCAGTGCTGATGCGTTGCTCAAGCCAGATAACGCGTTTGTCTGTGGGAGCCTCTTCCTTGTCATTTTTGACCATCTTTTTGCCTTTACAAAACTGCGATGATGATAATGTTGTTCTTCAAAACGACGACTCTGCTTTAAAACAGGTTAGGATGTTAAACTGGTTCTAGAAAAGATAACACTAAAGTGGCTACAAAAGGATAAAGGAATATTTTTTTAAAAAAGGCTTTTAAAATAAAAGGTGAGAAAAGCTACTTTTTGGTTCTTTCAATTTGTAAAACAGTCACTCAAACGTAGCTACTAGCTTTGGATTCTTTTTTTATCACATGAAGAGAAATAGGATATTCTCCCTTCAATTCATATTTTTATTTATTCTATTTTCCCATTTTTTTAGAAATTTACCTTCTTAGTTAAACACCAAATTTTACGCTGAAAAGATAAATTGACACATTATGCAATAAACATTGCTTTTCTTTTACTGTCAGGCTACAATAGTACGAACTTTGTGAAATTTTCATCTTTCCCATCCTCTTCAGTCTTGGCTAATCAAATAAAAAAGGTGATATTCACAATACTGAGAGTATATATATATATGCATGTATATTCACTACTGCATATAAAGAGATAAAAAAAGACTTGCTTATGCTTGCGGTGGACCACCAGCACCGCGACGACCTGCCTTCATAATCTCATCCACAAGAAGAAGTTGAGCAACAATCTCACCACTGGATTCTAGCAAGTTCTTCTTTACGATAACGCTATCCAAAATACCAGCCGCGATTGGATCCTGTTCATCACCAGTATCTAAATTGAGTCCAACCCATTTATTCTGTTTTCGAGAGACACTGCTTTTTTCTTGTAATGTAATGAGGCATTCTTGGACGTCCAAACCAGAGTTCTCCGCAAGTACCTTCGGAATAACAAGGAGAGCATCCGCGTAAGCTGATATGCCCATTTTTTGCTTTCCACTCACAGAATTTGCGAAATTGTATAAATGCTCATGCAGCGCCACTTCGAAAGCTCCAGCGCCTGCAATAACGGCGGAAGAGTCATATGCATTCTTGACTGCCCGGAGACCATCGCGGACAGCATCCTTGATCTGAGCAATGGTGTGATCATTCGGACCTTTTATCAGTAGCGTGCAGCTCTTCCCCTTCTTTGCGTTTTCCACAAATGTGTATGTATCATCACCAAGTGTGTGCACTTGAATAAGGCCAGCTTCCCCTAGGACTTCTGGAGTCAAGTTGTCAGTCGTATTAACAGCCTCACCACCACATGCAAGAACCAGACGCTCCATGTTACGGCGCTTAGCACGTCGTAAGGCCAGTATTCCTTCCTTGGCAAACATCTCCAAAGCAATAGGATCAATTCCCTTTTGATTGATAACCACAAAGGTCCGACCATTTTCCTTAGTGCAAACCTCCCTCTTCAACTCAATAATCTGTCTGGTTCGATCATCGGTCATTTTGCGCTCCGCTTCCACCATGCGTGCCTTTTCAGTCGGATTCTTGTAGTAGAATCCTGTTGAGAGTTCCGATCGCTCGTACTCAAGCGACACATTACACGTTAAAATATAGGCGTTTTCCAAATATTTAGGCATATCAGGGTTTCGGCCGCCATGATCCAAAACAAGTCCATTTACAAATCGAGTGTCAGAACCGAGGCGGTGCTTCATGTGCATCACCTCTACCATATGAAGATCAATCCCCTTTTCCTCATCCGCCACTGCATAAACTGCATCAACGACAGCTTCAGAAATTATTTCTGAGAGTGAAGGATTCACTTTGGTACTAAGCGCAGTACGAGCGGCATTCGTCAAGTATTCACGTTGTTCTTCCTTGGGAATACTAACGGTATTGAGTTGCAAAAATTTGAGCGCCTCATTACATGCAAGGTGTAAGCCCTCTGTTAATATTCGAGGGTGTATTCCCTCATTAATATAGCGTTCACACTGACGCATCATCTCACCAATAACCAACACAGTACTCGTAGTACCATCTCCCGTAATATCGTCGATCGCAGTCGCTGCCCGGGCAATAAGTGCAGCTGTTGGGTGCTGAATTTGCATCTCTCCAAGGAGAGTATTTCCATCCTTTGTAATTTTTATTAGCCCAGCACCCGAAACGAGCATTTTCATGGTCCCACGTGGACCCAAATTAGTTTTCAAGACTTCCTGCAGGCCCCGTGCAGCTATCATATTTATATCCAGAGCATTAACTTTCCGTGCTTGGTTCCCACCAGGATTAATGTATGCCAAGTTTGAATTCATGATGAGCGATAGAAAATGTATAGTGGTGATGTATTTACTATATATATATATATATAAATAAATAAATATATATATATATATATGTGTGTGTATGCGTTTGTGTGTGTATGTGTAATCCAAAATCAGTTAAGAGAAGTTATACGGAATAATCAAAAAGGAGTAAATTAAGAGAATTTCATCAAGAAGCAGATAGGAAAGAAATAAATATATATGCATATATGATAATATGTTTTTTAAAGATTAATAAGAAATAAAAAGCATCATCTCAATGCAATATACTAGGCCATAGCTTCCTTTACCAGGTTGGGTCCTTGTTGCCAGTCTTCTTCTTATCGTTCAGCTCAAAATGTTTAGTGCGTTTGAGGACGCTCTGAATGACAGACTTGCAACTGGAACACTGAAGCTTCAGCACAATCTTCTTCGTAGTCTTGGCCTTCTTGTGGAAAATAGGCTTCGTCTGACCACCATAACCAGATTGCTTGCGATCGTAGCGACGCTTACCACGAGCGTAAAGACGGGCCTTGCCAGCCTTGTACTGGACCACCTTAAAGGTCTTGTGCGCATTGCAGCGCTTGTCAGGGCAGTGCAGCACCTTCTTCTTGGGGAAGTTGACCATTTGAAAAAATTGAGACTATGAATATGAAAAATATAAGATAAAAAGGAAGTCAATAAAAATAATTGGTAAAAGAAATTTCGACTTTCATACTTGGGTTCATATATTTATATGTATGTATATACATTACCTAAATATATTACTTATTGGTGATGTTTTTTAATCAGTTATTTAAATCTAAATATCCCCAAACACACTTTTGCACTATGTGGGATGAAAAACGACGCTTTTTTATTTTTTATACCTAATTGATGTCTCTAAGCTAAAAAAAATTATTACTCATGAATCTCCATTCTTTTAGATTTATTCGCACAATCCTTCATTGCTTCAATTACTAATGACCTGAAGGCACCTTTTTCAAGGGTACTTAATGCTTCGATAGTGGTTCCTCCAGGAGAGCATACCAAATCCTTAAGCTGAGCCGGCCCTTGACCACTTTCTTGCAACATTTTTGCAGCACCTAAAACAGCTTGTGATGCCAATTCGTAAGACAATTGACGGGGTATTCCCAACCTAACAGCCCCATCACTAAGTGCTTCGATAAATAAGAAAACGTAAGCTGGGGATGAACCACAAAGAGCAATGAAACCATGCATAGTTGATTCAGGCAGCACCACAGCTTTACCCACTGAATTAAAAAGCTCAACAACCATCAACGTATCATTGGCTGTGACTTCCTTATTCTGTACAACGCATGTTGAACCACAACAAACAGAGGATGAAACGTTTGGCATAGCACGTATCACTTTGGAGCGAGGTGGCAATTGTTGCTCGATAGCTTCGAGTGTTATCCCAGCAGCCATAGAAACAATAATCTTTTCACTAGTAACCTCTTCACTAATGGCATCAAGAACACCTGTCATATCGTATGGTTTTACACCAATCAGTATAAAGTCACATATTCTTACAAGTTCTGTGGCACAGGCACGATGAACCTGATATTTTTCGCATAATCGATTCATGCTTGCTTCAGTCCGATTGCAAATGTAAATTTTATCAGAAGTGGCGAATCCGGAATTTAAAATTCCCCTCATGATACACTCAGCGATGCTTCCACATCCAAGAAATCCTATGGTAAAATCTTTCGTCATTTTTGTTGGATAAGCCGTATTCACTTGATGTATATAGTTAATTCTGAGGGTTGTCTGTTTCGACTGAAAAAGAGAATCGAAATGAAAGAATGCTATGGGGGAAAATATTTTTGAATATTAAAATGTTTTTAGTAAATTTGACAAAATAAATAAATCAATTAAGTATATAGCGATCTTTAAAGAAATATTGTTTGAAAATAAATACTATTCAAGGATTGAACAATAATTTTAAATGTATTCATTTGTGGATTCGAAATTGAGATCATCTTGACACAATTTAACATGAAAGGTTATTCACACGTGTAATATTTCCAGTAAATAAAAAACCTGAACACAATAAATCTAAGAATTTTTCAGTGGCTGATTTTATTTTTTGAATGCAGTGTTAAAGTTTAAATTAGGTCTCATTAAGTTAAGAAATCTTAGGGAGATAGGAAATTTTACAAAATTCTGTATTACTAAAATATAGCTGAAATAAATGTACATAGACATAATAGTACTATAAATTAATCATTTTAAGGATTCATGTAAGTATTCAATTGAAGTGACTCATCACAGTAATTGAATGGTTGCTGATGATGAGGTTATGGGATTTTACTCTTATGAAAAGAGAGGTAAGTAAATCATTTTTGGTTAAAAAAAAAATCATGAAAGAAACTTGTCATTCTTTATTGCCGCACGAAATACCCTGAATTTATTCAAGGGAAAATATAAAATGGAAAATCTTGAATTTGAAGAATGAGAAAGAAAATGAATGACAGCAAAGAAAAAAAGAAACCTAATACCTCTTTGAGAACCTAATTAATCCTCAATGAAACTGATATTCTCTTCACCCGACGGCTGTAAGGATTTAATGAAAACAAAATTTTTGATTTAAGTGTAAGGAGTTTGTAGATGCTTAAAAATTGGTTTGAAAAGCTTATTGCATTAATTTTAGTCCCATCCTGACGGTAAAGTTACGTAAATAGCGCAGATCTTACAACACCAAAAGTAATTTTTAAGAACACATAACGGGTACAAAACACGCTGTTTTAGGCGTTCTTTCAAGCTCAGTATGACACCAAACGAAAGCGAACAAAGAACTCGATCAATGACACTCCGTATTGCAATTTGTAAAAATTCTTGTTTGGATATTTGTCCCAATGCCATTTGAAATAGATTCACAATGGTATACTAAACTAGAGGCCTGGAGAGGCACAACGGAAGAGGATTAAAAAAATACATAAGCGCCGTAAAACCCCATAGGCGGCCCATTCCTTAACACGCAAAAAGAGTAACCCTTATGGATTAGGAGTTCATAGACAGTCAGGATAAAATACTTTTATTCTTTTCTTATACAAATGCGAAAATTTTCCCTATGACAAAAATGGAGATGAAAAATGACAGTTATGGGCTTCAATAATATATAAATAAAGTCCTGAGAAGAAGCCCCCGCCCAAGGGAGCGCGAATGGAATAAATTAAGACGCGACATCCATGTGTTTATGTATTTCGTTATGCTAAGAAGCGCCGCTTGCAGTGAGCATAGGCAAAGCAAAAGAAAATGGGCCGCCACAATTAGGAATCCCGCCCCTGGCCTGGCGCCCTTCGGCTTTTTAGTTACCCTGTAAATAGCAAACCTGGCCACTTGAATTCTTTAATTATGATAAATGTTTTTCAGATTCAAATTCGACTATTCTAAAAGACTTTGGGGTCGGGGGGGGGGGAGGGGGGGGGGAGGTAAATAATTTTTACCCACATGGCACGCCTCCCCTCTTTCGATTCTGTTGCTTTCCTTCTTCATTTTTTTTCCGCGGCTAAAGTTGACTGGTATCGGTCCTTTTCAGTACATTATAGGCATCAGAAATAGGGAAGACGCTTGTGGGACAAAACGTGTGCAAGGTACTAGTTGTAACGTAACAAACGCAAGGGTCCGTAATGAGGTCTTAAATTTGTTTCCTTTTATCATCTTCGATTTTTTATTGATAAAATCAGTGATGTTTGGCACTAAAAATAGGTGGAATCGCTATTATACAGTTGAAACCTATTGCCCAGTAATCCTCACCCGTAGTGGCGCTTCTGGACGGAGCTTTACGTGCCAAACTCACCTTTTTTCTCACTTAATAAATAATAGTCACTAATTATTGACTTGTTTTTTCGAAAAAATATAACTTCCGACATGTTATTACGTGTTGCTTTACTACAAATAATACTATAACATTGTGCAAATATATATTCTGTAGCACCTAAAAATGCATTTTTGCACTTTGATATTAATATATCTCTAGTGGCTTAGTCTTATTTGAAATGTTTATATATATGATTAAATTAAAAATGCTTCAAAAAAAAAAAGGCTAATGTACTTACGCAAATCGCTACTACAAATTCGGTTTAAGTGCTGTAATTTTTATTTTCACATTTGTTCTTGTACTGAAATGATAATACTTAGCACTATATTAATAGGTCTTTTCCTTAACACTTCTCTGCACGCATAGACACATATTGCCTCTATTACAAGAGGCATTGATCCTCCAATTTGGATCTATTATCCAGCCTCTAGTCTGTGCAATAAAACTACTACTGAACGTCTAAAACCGTGCATCGTATTTGCTAATTGCTGATAAATCGTTTAAAATTCATTTACGACGAATATTTCTTTACTTTTTTGTGTTTGTAACGACATACTAATATATATATATATATATATATATTGGTTATTCAATTATATTGTATTGTATTCTATTATTTATTTTCAAGCCAGAATTGTGTTCCAATACTTTACTTTTATATATACCATGAATTATTATTCTGAAAGAAATGTTTATATTCTTGGAAATGTAATTGTACTTTTTCAAATTTCTATTAACTATATGAGCGGTTCAATGCTACTTTTTCTGATTTCACAAAGATTCCTTTATATAAGTATATATTTACGGCACAGAATCTTTTTTAAAGCTGAAGGTGATTAACGATATCTCACCTTGAAAATATATATACGAAGTATATTTTAAGTAGGTGACTCTCTGCATATTTGCTTAGAAATAAACACTTTTTCTTTACTGCTCCTTGACCACGAGCAATATACTTTAATTTAGCATATGCATTTCGGCTGTCACGCAAAGAAAATTGAGGATGGCGAAGTTGTAGCGTCTTTCAGTGTGTATTTCACACCATCTCTTTTGCATCAGACGCATATTTTTCAATATCCTCTTAGACAAAGCAAAAGACCTTATGAAACAAATGAGGCAAAGCTTTTTTGCACTGAAGGTATTAACCCTGAGATTTCTTCCTCGAATGTTAGTAGTGGAAATAAAGCTTTAATAAATGCCAATTCACGTCTCACTATGCGATGCACACTTGATACCTTTAACTCGAAATCATTCAGGTCTGATGAAGCTGAAGAAAATAAGCAGAGCTTGCCTGATATGGATCACACTTATTCTTTCTCTTTGCAGTCAAAGCCATTTGCTTCTCATTCAGACTATGCAATTGGTTATTTTTACGGAGGAGGTTTTCACTTGACACCAGTTTCTTCTATTCAACAATTTTTACCTGCTCTTGAATCTAAATTCAATGCTGACGATGCTGCCGCAAAGCCTTCTGGAGGGCCTATTCGCATACGCCAAGAACATTCCAGTACACAAGCAACTGCCGCTTCGGGTCTTTTCACTTCTATTCGATTGCAGAAAGAACTACTGCGCCAAAGAAGTGTCATGATTAATTCTGATGCTGATACTGCAGTAGAGTTCAAGTTTTACTTTTCGAGGTCTGTAGAAAGTTGGAGCATAAAGAAAAAACTTATTTGCACTACGAAAGAAAATGCATCAGGCATGAATATTTTAAAGTCTAGGGAATCACAGATAGAAGACAGTTTTTACCCGCCTCAGCTTTGCGCTTCTAGTGGTATATCCGAAGGTGAGAATGCCTTACCGCCAATCATTCGATCTTTTGCAGCCTCTTACACTATTTTGGAGCAGGTCACTAATCTGCTCCAAAGATGCCAAGTTCTAACGCTAGAAATTCTGAGAAAAAATTTATCAGAACCAAATTCCACAAGCCTTGACACTCGTGTACCAGATGCTAGTATCATGGAGTCCTTGAAGTCAACTGCGGTCTATATGCATGGAGTATGGGTTTGTGGCTTCTCAGGGAGATTTAAGGGTTCTATCGCCGCGTTGAGGGAAGTTATACTCCTAGAATTTCAACGATCACCTGACGGTTCTATTAGGCGGTCTCAACTGAACAACTTGGTACAAACATCGAACTTGCGACGTTCCATAAAAGAAATTCTTGAAACGCTTTCAGTGCTTAACAGTGGAGAGTTTGACCCAGAGAAGCGACGCTGGAGGCTACGCTACGTTCCTGAAGATCGTACTGAATATCAAAAAAATGTAAGTTATATTGAATCTCGTTTTCAATGCGAAATAGCTGCCCAACAGGAATTGTGGAATACTCGAACAGCTCAAATTCTTAATCATCTTCCATATATTAATTCAGGGCAAGCACCTCCCACTTTGGTTCTCATAAACCGGTTTGACATGAATAACAATGCCAACAACACGAGCAGAGGGATGTCTTATAATGGTACGATGTCAAATAACGCTTCTTCATCTGACCTCAAAAACGGGGCTGAAGCATTTACCGAACAGAATCTTGCACCAATTCAGCAATACATTCGAATTCTTTTTGCGGAACATGGTGTGATTAATAAGCTACGCGCAAAGGAGCTGGTGCTGAAAGCAAGGGAATCACATTACCCCACCGCCACAAATCAAATGCTTAGTGCCGCATTGCAATCTCAGGTGCAACCGTTTACTTCCTCAACTTGGGTCTTGAAGACGTTAGGCGAACCTTCCGTTGATCGGCATCGTCCTCTTATCCTTGCAGTACTATTAGAACTAAAAATATTTGAAACTCGTGCCGTCCTTAGTCAGCTAAATGGAATAACGAAAGAATATAAAGAGAGTTCAACTTCCGACAAGTCACAACCAGATCAACAGGGCATACCTGCTCAAATTGTACAACGCGTAATAGCGGAAGTTTCAGAATTCAAATCTGGCGAAAGATTATGGCATTTGAAAGTTGGAAACGTTATGGTTGATTAATGTCATACTTTATGGAGCTAAAAACTATAAATATTGCTCATACGTGTAAAGAATAAATCCACTTGTCTATTAAAGAGCAACTAAAAATTATAATATGGGAACCACGTCAATGGGTATAGTTCAATATCAAAAAAGGTTGACAGTAGAATTAGTGGAAAAAAAATCTTTCTTTAAGGCTGATTATTGTTTCCCCGTAATTTTGCTCAGTTGCAACGCAGAATTTGTAACTTTTGGTTTTTGAAGCTATTCAACTAAATATTTTTTTTAATATTAAAAAGGCTTCGCTTCCATTTTCTCAATACCATGGATACTCTTGCATACTGTACGGGTGAATCAGGCGCTATCCCATGCAAATCAGTTTATCCTTTGAGTAAAACATCGGCAACTCAATATTCCAAGGATAATCGTCCGGTTGTTACCGAGTGTCGTAAGCTGTTGTGCATGAATGTAAAGCAGCCCAACGCCATCCGTCTCCTCAGTCGTCAGGGAAAGTACACTGATACCATGTTAAAGGTAGAGTCAATTCGCCACCTCAGTTCTACAGAATCCCACTCCAGCCACCCTTTGCTTTTTTTCGCAGTAGGTGGCAAGGAATTTGCTATTTTATCGCCTCAGATCCTTGCCACTGGGGAGTTATCTGTTTCTGTAAAGGAATCTTTGTTTGATGAGGAATTATACGCTGCCACAACAGGTGATACGGGGAAGGTTTTTGTACTTGGACAAAATAACTTCTTTGAAGTTAACGAGTCTACAGGGGAACCTTTAAGGTCCATAAACTTAACACCCAAGACTGTAGTAAAGTATCCCACTTTTGATTATCATCGTAAATACAACTTAATCGTTGTTCCTGCGAAGAATACTCATTTAGATCTTATTTCTTCGCAGACCCACAAGAGCGTGCTCAGCAAAGCGTGGGAACCTCATACAGACGCCGTTCCAATTTTTGCACGTTTTTTTCATGTTCACGCTTTCGAAGAAGAAAAAAACAGTAAGCCTATTTTCATGCTTACTACTGCGTGTAACAACTCGGAGTTGAGGTTTTGGTCTTTCAACACCGAAACTCAGCGGTTCAACCTTAAGCAGGAGATAACTATTATCGATAAGGACGACAAATCGACACCTCAGAAAGGGGAATTCGAAATCAGTATTACACCGAATGAGGAATATATCATCCTCGCATCACGGCAGTACGCCTTTGCAGTCGTTATTGAATTGCATCGTACTCTATTTAAAGTACATCGTATGACTACTTGGAAGATGCAGGGCCCTGCGCTGTGCTGTGCGACGAGTATCGGAAAGATTGCGGAGAGTTCACAAAGTAAGTCAGTTAGTTATGAGCTATTTGTTACTCTTCGCACGCAAGAGGGGTTTTATCAGGCGATGTTAGACAGCAACAAGCTCATGGGGGCATCGAACATGTCGAGTTCTGCAGGTATTGATAAAAATCCTGTAGTTGATTCGATTTCTGTTTGGTTTGGAAAATCATCCTCTACTGGCCCGACCGATAAATTTAATGAAGTGAGCAACCGGGCGGGTGGCAACACTCAGCTTACAGCGGTTTCGTCATCGCTTTTAGGCGACAGCAAGATTGCTAACACGATCTCCGAAGCAAGTGCAGCAAAGGTGGTACGACAGCAAGCGGCAAAATTTTGTGAACAACTTCTTCAATTCGATACTGAATTTGCCAATGCACAAAAAAGCGCCTCAGACAACCTTCGTATGTTTCAGGATTCCCGCTTTCGTGAGGAAGCGCAGTCTATAGGCCGTCGGTTTGCTGCTCGAAACCAGGGTCGGCTGCAATGGACCCCTTCCAGTCGTGCGGCGGGAAGCCCCGATCAGCGTGTAGAGCCTGGCATGATGACAGAACAGCAACAGGAGCTGCTCCAGAGTATCAGTAACTTCGTGAAGGAGATCGAGGGAGGTAGCGCTGCTGCAACCTCAGCGGCTCTCAAGGCGTTGATGCAAAAGCAACTCAAAAGTTCTGTTGATAAGGCGTTGCTCAATTTGGATCACTTGGATGTCGCAGGAACGTCGAACCCGAACATTTCGTCCACGGGTGCGGCCAAACAATTTCGAGCTGATGTCGAGGCTGCATCGCGGCAGATGTTGGCCACCGTGCGGGGTCTCCATGCGCAGATGAAGACCGTACTTGAGACCTCGCACAACGAAACACAATCCATGATCCAGCGTGCGCGAGGATTGGCCGCGTCCATCCACAAAGGCCTGACCGACCTCAAACATGAGCTTGCAGAGGCTAAGGCCTCCCTGGCGACGCTGCAGAGTCCCGCGAGGACGGCGCCAGTGGATCCGGACACCCTCGTCGCTCGTGTCGTCTCACAGGCCGAGGCTGGTGACTGGGCAGGCGCCCTCACATTGGTATTGGAGTCCGGTGATTTACTTGCGTTGTTGAAGTTCCTCGAGAGCAACGTTTGCCAGGAGAACATCTCAGTTTTGACGTCGCCTAACACCCTAACCCTTCCACTTTTCCTCAGTTTATGTCTGCAGTTGACGTATGAACTGAATAGCGATCCAAGCTCTATTTTACTTCGCATAAATATGTTACATCACTTTTATGTGAACTGGGACGATAGCTTAAAGAATATGAAAGAACAAGCTGCTAAAGATGTACGACACGCTAAGGCATTTGAGCTGACTAAACGTGAGCTAAGAGCTGTGCAAGGATACTTGGGGGCGATTGATATTATGACACTAGACCGTAAAAGTAAAAATAAATGTCGTTTAGTAAAGAAACTAATTGACGACATTTTAGAAAATTAGCTAAGAATTACAGAGAGAGCGAATTGAGTAAAAATGTGAAACGTGCTTACTGTGTTTTGAAAATGGAACTTTATAGAATATTTGGTAAAGTGAATATGTGGTTGTTAATTAATTGGAGCGATGTCGTACGAGGCCTTCATTTTGAATGCGTTTGAAAGGCAGTAGTCATATTCTTTGGAATGAATTAGTTCAAAGAAAAAAGAGATCTCTTAAGGGGCGCACTTTGAAAAAGTTATCCATGATGAAGAAAAATTTTAAATGCGCGTTTTTTCCTTGTGTAGGTCCCCTCAACAGAGCCAACTTCATCCCCCTTCTTTCTCTATAAACATAGGTGCCCAATGGGGTGATCTATGATTTTGGGAAAAGTGTTCAAGCTTCATTTTGGAGGCTGTTAAGTAATTTTTCGGTTTAGCTGTCCCTTGCTAACATCTCTGTTATAGGATTAAAAAGCCTTTTAGTTAGATATCCAGTGCCCAAAACAGTGAAAAGAAACAGAATAATAAAATAATATAAGCGTTTATGTATATTCATGCGCATTCAATGGAACTTATAATCACATCGAATATTATTGCATATCGTTTTTTTACATCGTCTTGCCACTTCCTTTACTTCTCTCTTAATCCCTGATTCATAAACTCAAAAATTTGGTCTTATAGGGGAGGTGCTCAAAAATATACTCTATTAACGAGCCGATTCAAAGCAGGGAAAGTAATCCCCTTACACCAATTATGCCCATAAATGTGTTTCTGGCTTATGTAGATACTTACATTGGAAGACAATTGCTTCGACAATTTGAACACAAACCAACTCTATTTTCCGTGTATGGATGTGTTTGGGATAACGACAACATCACAAATCTTACTGAGCAACACAACTTATTGGCTGCAGATGACAGAGTGTCCATATGTAGCGACCCTGTAAAACGGCGCTCTTCGGATCATGCTAGGCATAAGCCAGAGATTGAACAGCTTGAAACTTCAATGCCAGAAAGGGATACATTTCCTACTACAATGGTTTCTTGTCGATTTTTTTGGCGACGTGACGGTGCCGCCGTGCAAAAAGCTCTCAGAGAGTGTGAATGGATTGTGATAGAGCAACGAGAGGCTCAAGACGTCTTCGACATACTTCATATTCTTCAAAGTCATCAAGGACGCTCGCATGCTTCTGAGGCTCTATGTTCCTCAGACAAATTCACAAACTCTTCCTTTTTCCAGAAGCCTAAGAAATTCGTACTGCTTTCTAACTTTATGAGCTGGTTTGCAACGCCTCCACTTCACAGATTATCGTCCTCGCACAAGGTTGACACAGATAACACACAGGATGAAAAAAATGACGATTCAGACATTAGGCTAGAAGATGATGATGAAGATATGGAAATAGACGCACCGTATCCACCACCACTGGAAGAGGATAGGGCTTCTTTACTAGCGGAAAACGATGAGAATAACAACGAGGAAGAAGACCAGAATGATGGGCTTGAATTCGACAAGATGGCAGGCAAGAAGGATATACTGACAGAGGACCAGTACAACCGTCGCATTCCACACATTAAATACTTTAACTGGCGAGATGCAGAGAAGGCCGTGGCTGCGGCTCATCGCGCTAATGGGCTTCCACTGGATACTTTTGTCATTTTTGCAGGCTTGGCCTACGGTGAAGGTGAAGATATTCTCGAGCCGTTTTTCCGCCAAGCCTGGAATGCCACAATGGAAAAGCAAAGCGGTGAGCACAATCACACGCTACCGATTTTCGGCACTGGTGATCAGCTCATCCCAATGATTCACGTAAAAGATTTGGCAACATTTACGCGAAAACTTTTGTGTAGTCCATCTCAAATACTACACTCCCAGCGATACATCTTTGCCACGGACAGCGACACGCAGCTCTCATGGAGCACAATTGTGAAAGCCATCAATCAGGCGTTTGGTGGTGCTTGTGCGTTGCAGATGGTAAAGCCAGCTGAAAATCCTTTGTATAACAATATTGAACATTTTACAATTGATTTGTGTCTAGAACGTGGTGCAATTAAGACTATCATGGAAATGGAAGAGGATGCATTGATAATGAAAGGAGGAGCACGGCTCAAGTTTGATGCAAACGCTCAGTACTTGAACGAAGTCATGAACAACGAAACGAAGGAAATGGATTCGTGGGTTTCTGAGGGTGGCTTCAAGCAAAATATTGAAAAAATTTCTTTGGAGTTCCGCGTCGAACGGAACGTAACCCCAAAACGTGTACTCGTGCTTGGACCTCCACTCTCCGGCAAGTCCTATCTCGCGGCCATGTTAGCGCGTTATTACAAGATACCTGTGTTTCGTATTGAAGACGTTGTAGAGGCTTTTCGAGAACATTTACGTGAATGTAAGAAAAAGTTAGAGGACTACCGCACCGAGTTGATCCGAGGTGAAGAGGAGCGTCGGCTATCAATTAAGACAAGTCGCATAAGACGGGCGGCGCGGCTTCGGAAAAGGAAAGCCATGCTTGCGGAACAACAGCAGACAGCGGGAGAGGAAGGTGGCCAAGAAACAGAAGAGGAAGGAAGGGATATAGCTCAGAAAAGTGGAAAGCAGCAACTTGCATACGCCACTGGTGGGAAAGACGTCCAATACGGGCACGCGTATGGTACAGGCGGGGCAACTGACGACGACGACGGTGAGAACGACCTTGCGCCGCCCTGTACTCTCTCGCTTGAGGAGCTAAAGGAGGTTGAGCAGGTTATAGAGGAAAAAATAGCAAACAGTCCTTTAGTGGAGCGGTGGCGCAGTAAAATTGCGGAGATGGAGCGTATCTTGCTTATGAAGGTGAGACTTTCAACAATGGGTGCGGCTGATGATCTTGCCAATGCCGCTACCACCAGCAAACGTGCAACCAACAAGTCAAGTTTATCTAAAAAACGACTTGCAAAGGAACAACAGCGAAAGAAAGAGGAGGAGGAGCTGCAGCAAGCCAAGGAGGCCCTTCAGGATGCCCCTTTTCAGGACCAAGGGCTTGCTCTGATGCTGAGGTGGCGACTAGCTTGGCCAGACTGTCGGAATCAAGGCTATATTCTTGTTGGCTTTCCGCAAAATTTGCAGCAGGCACGGTACAGCTTCGGTTGCGAACCTCTTATTGCACCTGCTACGGAGGATGAGGCACTTAACCCGCGTTCCACCGCGCCGGCGCAGAGTAGCGACACGAATAACGAGAGTGAAGAAGCGGCTGATGACCAGCATGTGCCCCGGAATCAAGAGCTCTCGGACGAAGGTCGTCTTCCAGATGATGTCCTGATACTATGTGCGGACGATGAGTATCTTCTCAAACGTTGGAATGCCTTGTCTGGGCTCAAAGCATTTAACCCCTTTACTGAGACATGTTCGGGTGACAACCCCATCACCGGAAATTCAGGTGTGCTTCCTCCAAATGATAGCGGAATGGAAGTGTCAGCAATTTGGAAAAAAAATACAATGCCTTCCTGCCTGATGTTAACAGGTGAATCAAAAAAAAAGACACTTGAGGCTTTTAATGAAGAGCTTGAGGGGTTCAAGCGGAGATTCGGCACTACTTACGATGCAAGTGTTACCAGTCGGAAACGAAGCGGTAGTGTGGTTACGTTGAAGTCCGTCAATGGACAATCACACAATATGCTCAACTATCTCGAATGTGCTGTGACGGTTTCAACCGGTATCACTTCAGGCGGTCGTCGCATCCGAATTCACCAGGTTAGTGTTCAAAAAGAGCCGCTGATTCCTCCGCCAGCACCAAGCTCGAAATACGAACTTCCCCCGGCTAGTGCTTTGGAGCTCACAGCGCAGCAAAAGTTGGGTCCACCCCATTATTTTGGTAAAACGCCGTTAGAGGTGCACCAAGAAACGGTTCGACGTGTGCGCTTGGAAGAGGAAAGGATTAGTGAAAAGAAGCGCCTCGAGCAAGAGGCCCGCAATCGCGAACAAGAGGCATATGAGGAGGAACTTATCACCCGTGAAAGCGCCAACAACGATTTGCTTGCTATCCAAACTGCAGATTACGCTGCTCTTGAGGAGCGGAAGGCTCCCCTCCGAAAATTTCTAATGAAGCAGGTGATGCCCTTGCTTAGCAAAGGTCTGGTTGAGGTCTGTGAGCGGCGTCCTGAGAACCCAACCGAATATCTAGCCGAATGGCTACTTCGACACAATCCACATGATGAAATATTTTCAGACCTATGAAAATAGCAAAAAAATGTTCACTATTCCTACGTGTGTGCACATGAAAACACATTCGACTACAACAATGATGTAAAACATCTTTACAATTCTAAACTGATCTATTTCCATAGATGCGAGAATATAGTCCTTCTTTTGAAGGAGGAAGGTAGGGCTGATGTATTTATTTTTTATTATTATTGACTGCACGGTGAAAATCCCTTTTATTTTATTGCCCTTTGTACGTCTTTTTTGCAGCAACTCCACTGATCCATGAGAAGGAATCTTGCAACGCAAATTCAATGGAAATATTCTTGTGTTCTTCTATTTTTGAGGATTCTCAGAGTCTTAGAAATAGAAAGTAGACTGTAGTCATGTTATAAAAAGAAGCTACTATGTTGTGGGTATTTATGTTTTGACGAAGTGTATATTTAATATTTTATTCTATATTCTTTCTGTATTGCTTTGAAAATTTTCAGGACACATAAACAACTGTTCTTAATAGCGATGATGATGATGATAGCAATAAACCGTGTAACATTACCGGAGCCAGTATGACGATTAGCATATTCAGGATACATTAGGTGAAGGCTCGTAACAGAGAATACGCTCAAACTCAACGATGCCTAACTCTTTGATTTTGTGCAACAAAGCGAAATTGCGGAGCAATTGTTCTGATACTGAAATTAGTGATGAATTGTTTCATGACAAAATCGCCCCTATTAAGAGGATAACCTAAACAGTATTAAAGAAATCTATTCTTTCACTCTTCACTACAACAAGAACAAGTTCTCCGCTTGTGGTGCATTTCGATATTGCGCAGGTTTACCGGGTAAGGTTTGGGTAAGAGTTTGTGAGAAACTGTCTGCTCGACATTCTCTGTGTTACTCCGAGGACCTTTTCACCAATTGACACTCTTAGCGCTACCAGGGTTGTATTGTGTAGTGTGAGGCTAGATTCTTTCACACATCTGCAACGGGGTTAAGATGGTCTTCAACACATCTCACTTTACGGCCAAAGCGTCTATAATAGGCTAACTTGACATGTTTTCAGTCGAGCATGAGGCTATAGTTTTTTTTTCGTTGCACTCGCTAATAACATTCTTTCTTGTGAAACTACAATTAAGCAGTAATTTCTATCTTACACAGCAGGGGTTTCAGTACTTCTTGCTTTCATGTGCCGCTGAGGATTTGGAAATCCGATCCGGATGTGGGCTGGCATGACTGAATGTTGCGGGTGAACACACGCGGGCTTGCCTCAGGCGCGATCTGTGACAGCCGGGGCGGACTAGCAAAACCTGTAACTTTTGCATTGTCAAAGACCATTGAAGTGCTTTCCCCTTCGGGAAGGCCCGAGAGCGTGTGGATGGGCCAGCTAGATTGCTGAGACGCTAGGTGAAAAAGTTTCGCGTGGAGGTCCAGGGGAGGAGTGATGGCGGAGGATGGGATCGGGGATTGAACTGTTGGAGCCTCTTCAGCGAACCATACCAAGCTTACTTCCAGGCATGGGGGAAGGAGATATTGGAAGACGGTGGTGCTCGCGTTGGGCTTCGTTGTTAACGGGATGGGATGGGGTAGAGAGGCGTTGTTGGGATAAACACGGATACGTGATGTTTTGTAGAACACGTACTCATATCAATGGCCATGCAGATTCTATCCACACATTGACCTTCTAGGTATCGTCTTTTACATAATATTGAATTCTTGTTATACAATAATTTTAAATATCAAACTTGTACAAGTCAATAACTATGGATTATTCTGTTAGGAGCAAATTTAAGCTATTCCTTGCAATTGGTTTTGATAAGAAACATTTCAAGGTGACTCTTCGCTGACATATACTTCTGTTTGTTCATTTTTATCATAAAATTTTCTGTTTTCACTAATTTGTGTCATTTTTGAATATAAATGCAGGAAGTGATGATGTTTCAAGGTCATGTGTATAGTTCTTTAGTGTTTGAAAGCGATCTGCATTTACTCAAAGGCCTCTTGCAATCAACTGCTCACCGATATCTAGTCGTATGCGTTTTTGTCGCGTTAACAGCTCCTTTTGTATTCAGCGCAGCGCACTTTATGAGCAGGAAACGACGTGACGCGCTAATTAAATTAGCTTCGCAGCTCGAATACGGTCGACTTGAATATTTAAATGTAAATCGATTTGGTCTAGAATCGAGCAAAAGTAGAGGTACCGGTGATACGCCGTTACCTACACATGATAACGATATGACTAGCACTAGCATTGACATGATAGGATCCAAGAAACCCAGCGAAGAAGGGAGTCGGAGGGTGATTTTACCACCGGGGGCCACCTTCCACAGTATTAAGCGCATGTTCCCTCTCTTTCCTAAAATTGTCGGACACCAATCTAATAGTAGTGTTTGCGAATGTTCAATTTCTAAGAAGCATGCTCGACAGAGCGGGATTGATCACTGTGGATTAACAACGTCATCGACTAAGCACACATTTCAGCCTACTGTTATAGTGAATGAAAATAGAGAAGGTGGGAGTCATATTAGTTCTTACAAGAGTAGTCTCGGTGGTGATTTTTTCTTTAATTGCGCGTTTGCATCAGTTTCAGTTTCCTATTCACCTACAACTTCGAGCTTTTTGGGTAGTCCACATCTACCCCGTCGTGATGTGCAGGTGAGAGGCGCCTCGTCTACTGATAATTATTACCGCTGCCGTCGAAAGCAGCTCATCTCTCGGTTATGTGATGATTATAGTGAGCTGCTAGCGCCTCTCGCTCAGGTCATTTTAGCTAAACAAAGCACTAACGATGGAGACTTTGCGCACACTATTGCCAGCACAGCCAGCACATTTTTTATACTCAAGTCGGCGCGTTCGCTGTGCTGCATGGCGGCACGGGACGCAACTATACACGTTTCTTTTTTTTTCATTAGCCTCGCGATGGGCCGTTTTGTTTCTTTTAACTACTCTGAGTGTGATAGTCCATATTTGCCTCAAAAGACTCTTAAAGACCTCACATTCGTCATGGCTTTGTGGCACCCTATCAACATCCTCCGTATTATCAGAGACCTAGCAATATCGCTCCTGCAAGATCCTATCTTTAAAGACTCTTCAGATTTTGCTTCTTTAAAACCTGCATCAAAAGAGCTACCAAACTCATCTTCTGCCTTAGCGATTGATAGTTTGCTTGGACTGTATGTCTTTGTGATGTCAGCGGATTCCCCTACGGTGCGTTGCTTCCTGCCATTTTGGTTGGTGCCCATCTGGAGGCAGCTGTTATTTGTGGAATGGATCGGCCGACCGGCTGCAGCACTATGGTTGCATTCTCAGACCGTTACTGGGGAGAAAGGTAGAGGAGTTCCATCATATCTCTTAGCTGACAGGGTGTGGAAAGGACTCACGCCTAAAGGCTACTTTGTGTGCATGCTGCTTTACTCGCTACCAGAGGTCATCATACATTCCTTTGGAGACTTTAATTGGTGGGGTTTATGCAAACAGATTTACCAATTGCACTATAGTAAGGACAAATATAAAAAGGTTCGTACATACATTCAAAAGATTTACTTTTGGCGACCAACGTTTGCTAATACGAGGGAGGACACTTCATATCAAGATAGCAAAGCATACGTTAACCTTTCTACAAATACGGGCAAAAGGGCCCAGAAAGTTGAATCATTCTATAAATCTTTGTGGGATACGACTGAAGATATTACTCAAAGTTTGTGGCGATGTGGTAAGAACATATACAATGTTTGTCCAGCTCTAACAGGCATACTAATCGACGCTGGTTTGTGTTTTATTGTTCTTTCTTTCATTCCCGCACAAACCCCTAAAGCGAGTACAATACCAGCATATAGTCATAGACCTGGATTACATTTTTACGCATTAGGATGCTTAAGGGGAATAATAATAGCTAGTCGATGGGCCTGGTCAACAAAAGTGGAGTAGACACCAAAAGAATTAGAAAACAAAAAAAATATGAAGTTAGTAAGTAAATACTGTACAGAAGAAAAATAAGTGGGTATGGCTATAAGTGGGGCCCTTGTTTACGTTGTCAATTGTATGTCATCGAGAGTACTCGCACTCTGGCAACGAGAGTGGGGGGGCTCGCACGCCTATTTGTACAACCAGCGTCTGCATAAATATCCGTATTTCTACTCCGATTGTCGTCAGTGACTAGGTATCTCTTTAGAACCCCTTCTATTTCTTACTGCTTATCTACCACCGATAGCCCCTCGTTGGTTTTCCATCATGCCCTGTGGTGGGTGCAGTATGTAGGTGCACCGCTGTTCTAGGTACCATTTTTGTTAATTTTGAGCCATGCCATCCCTACAACGAGGGTTGCCGGAGGCTAGTCTTACCATGTTCATGTTTTGTCTTGCTTGATTAAATGCTTCCGAGCGTTTCTTGTCCACCTCTGACAAAGGTTACGTTCTATCACTTCAAGTATTCCCAAAAAGAATAAAACAAAAAGCCCCAACACCCAGCCGTGCACACAGAACTCCATTCAGTGTAAAGGGAGCGGCTCGGCACACCTTCACCTGCTAGTGCGCGTTTTTTACATATTCTCTCTATCCCAGACGCCTATAGCGCGGCAAATGCATTCCGTACGTCATAGACATCGACCAGCCGCTATGCTGGGACTGCTTCTTGTACTGCTCTTTCTTGGGGGCGTTGCAAAGGCTGAAAATGGAAGCCCCGGTTTTTTTCTGTTGCAGATGCGCGGTCACTTTATATTGGAGTTTGAGGAGGCTTATACCAATTATTCAAGGGCTTCATTTCGTGTTGCCAAGGACATGTGTTTTGATCGTGGCGGTGTGCCCGCCAGTGATCCGAACTTCTGTTACACCAATGCCATCTCCCTCCAGATCATGAATCACCGGAATGTAACGGGCACGAGCTTCTACGTTGGTGCCACAGCGAGCCCACAAGATGCTAATATTAACCGTTGCCATCCGATTCCGGCAGGATACTATAATGGGTCAAACTGCTTCTTCCGTTGGATTTATGGTTTCTACGATCTACACAGCTACCAGGGTGAACCCGGCACCGCGTTCTGGCAAGGCATCTACAGGTTCAATAAGAATCCAAATGAAGCTGTGTTAAATAACTATGAACAATACTTTTGGAACAGCACAAAGCCATACCCACACGGAAGGTATTACATTATCAATGGTATCAATGTCTCTGATGGTACCCTCTACCGGGCGGATTGCCATGATTCCCCTCGTTCTGAATGCGCTAACCCGAGCGAAATGTTTCTTGTTGTGTGTGAGGTTCAGTGTTATCCTGAGAATCCTGTCATCGCCCCCAAAGCCCCGCAGCCGATCTTTGTACAGGGATGGGATGATCTGACATGGGCTCAAGAGCACTGGTTTGTGATCTACATTACTTTCATTGTGATCATATTGTTCGTATGTGTGATTATCACGATATATTGCTGGATCACGTCTAGAGCGAGGCCCGTTGGAAAGCCGATTAATGCGATGGTCATTCGCGAGTACCAGGGGTTTCCATTTGCTTCGACTGGTGAGGATGGACTGGCAGGGGAGCACGTTCAGTTTTCGCTTAACCATTGGGATGCCGTTGATGGCGGTGGCAACCCACCTGTGGATCCCGAGGCGTTCAACTTTAGAAATCCCCTGATACTCGAGGCGCCAGATGCCGATCAGTATGGCAATGCAAACTGCCATGCTGACACGCAGTTTAAACGAAGGAATGAAGGCGGCCGCGATATCAACCTGGAGGGTCCACGTAAATCGAAGACCTCTCCCCCTACCAAGGATGCCAATTCAGCAACTGCCTCGCGGGACCAAGGGTCGCAGAGACGCCTTCTGGCGAGCCAAACTAGTCGACATGCTCGCAGCCATACCACCAATCCGTGCGTCTTCAGTGAGGTTGATATGCCTAGCGCAGGAGAAGTTCATGAAGCCAATGTCGAGCTTTAAGCTCTACCCTAAAATAAGGTGCCGATACTTTTCTGCTGTAACACCTTAGGCGCATTCGACTACATGCGCTGCCCCACGACTGGCTGCGAGGTCTCTCGTCTTCAACAATTTTTTCATCCTGATAAAAATGTATCTAATACTAAATCCTGGTGGATGGCAACCATTTGACATATGAGGATGAGATGCATATGTATGTGAATCGTTATTTATTGTCTTTCATTAAATTTATTTTTGTTATCACGACGAAGTTTAATTCAAGGTTCATTTCTTAATCTTTTTGTTCTTCCGAAGACTTTACTGAGATAGTAGCATACTGCCAGTGTTATTGTTAAATAATATTGCTTGCTAGCGATTTAGTTAGCATTCCAATAGTGTCAAGCAGACAGGAGGCTAATTTGTTTTGTTTTTATTTCGCATTTTTATTTGTTTGTTGCGCTATCTTTTCGAGTTAGTGATTAATCAAGGTAGAATCGAGGATATATTTTTTGTTTCCTGCCCCGCTTTGCTTAACCCTTTTAAAGACTCTTTTCATTGTCTAAGATGCCTTAACCGCTTTATGTTTCGTTAAAAGAATGCAAATTCGTGTTTATTGTCATAATGTTATGTTTATCTTTTTGTCATTATATTCTTTGTATTCTTTTGTTCTTTTCCTTATTATCTTATATTTTTAGAATATTCTTTTCATGAACTTTTTGTTTTCTTATGTCTTTTTTTTTTATATCTGATTCGCTAGCATACTCACATTCTTATTTTCTTGTCAAATTTTGTTTTCTTTATGATTATTATTCTTTCTGAAATTTCTATAATTGTTTATTCCCAATAGCTTGATTCACCGATCAAATAAAGTTGTAATATTTCCTATTTCTTTGTATTGGTTTTTATTTCTTGTGTTGTAAGCGCTCAGGAGATTACTGAATTTATTTATATTACTATTACGCTTATTTTACTATATACACAAATATACTTACTTAATCATCTACTTTTTTATATTATACATAGTTTTTAGAATTGACAATCCCAGTCCGAGGGAAGAATTTTTTACAAGATTTACCTTCTGATATGAGGGATAAACGAAACTGAGTGTCTACGTGTTCGATTTATGTATTTTTTTCTTATCCTTATATATACTATTTGTATGAAATTAAGGACAAGTGAATTTTGTAAGGATCTAAAACCCTTTAAAAAGAGGAAAGTGAATGTAGATTTTTCTTGATGCCTATTCCGGCCACAGCAGTGTACAAGCGGCAGGAAAAATTGCGCCTTTATCGATCCCTAATTAAGGGTGCTCATCGATTCCCCCTCCGCTCTCGTCGTGAGCTGGTTCTGGAGGAGGTACGCTGCACCTTTCGCGATCCCCATCATCTCCATTTAACCCAACGGGAGGTGGATTATCGTCTGTTGCTGGGGTGGGAGCGCGTCGCCGCGATCTCGACCTACGCACAGAACATGCACTGGTTCCACTCCCGTGATGAGGTGACGCGGGAGATGCTTCTCTTCTCGGAGGCGCGGGATCGGGAGCGGGCAGAAGAGACCTCGCGTTGCAACTCCGTCGGGAAGGCAAACGTCAAGACCCCCGAGGTGACCGATTTCAAGTCCACCTACTACCACGTTCACCCGGATTACCATCATAAGATCGGCGCGACGCCACTCACGCACTCGCGGGATATCTGGCGAACACGGGGGCAGTACGGCTCGGATGTGGGAGGGCCCCGGCAGAAGTTTTTTGTGCGGCGCTTTAAGGCGATGTTTCCGCAGGGTTGGTGATGCTTAGAATGACAAACAGGGAGAAATAGAGAGGAATGAAAAAAACGCCAGATTAGGGCTGCTATGTTTTAGCTAGCTTTGGTTTTCATCCCTTTGAAGATGATTTGCTCATGAGGTTTACCGGATTTTTTTTTCCGTTGCTTTCTATCGCTCATCGTGTTTTCACCCGGTTTATTTCTACGTCTGTTTGAGAAGGTTTTCAGTAAAGCAGCCATATATGCAAGAGGTGTGAGTCTGAATTGCTTCAACAACTTCACCCACACGGCTAATGCTACCTGACGCACCCCAACCCCTTGCCCGCGGCATCGTTCCGTATTTCCTAGCCTTTCAGGGGGCACCACCCCCACCGTCGCGCGCGTTGCAGTCTGGGTGCCGAAACGGAACCCACGACAACCACAACGCGTTGACTTATTTTCACCCAGCCATGACCCACGCCACCGAGTTGCCGCATCATGGATCTGTTGTGCGGTTTCGTTATGACTTTCATTGCCCTCGATGCCTATTGAAAAACGACTTTTCACTGGATTCCAGTGTCCTTTCTGCCCAGTGGGGAGGAAATATGGAGGATAACACCGCAGACGGCGTCTTTTCGACTCAACACCCGCTGGGTGAAGAGTTGGAGGAAGAAGTTGGCATGATGGTACTTAAGAGAATACCAGACGTCGAGGGCAGCACGTTCCCCTGCGCGCCGATTCGGTGGGCTGCTGAACTCTTTGCTCGTCATTACCGTTGCCACAGGCACCAGGAAGCTGCAACTTTTCCTGGCTTTCATTTATTGTCGAGTGATGGAATCCTGAAGAACTCTCCTGAGGTACCCGAGAGCGTTCATCACCACATTCGTCAAGGTTTTGATGAATATAACAGTGCTTCAAACGATGTTGCGAGAGCTTTCTTTTCGTTTAGAGGGACTAGGGCTGCAGAATTCGATAACGAACTCATCAGCAGTCGAAAAGACTTAAAATTCAAACGTGGTGAAGCTAAAGTTGGGGGTATCGATTCGATGGGGAGTGTTTCACGGAACGGTCGCGCAGCCATCATTTCCGAAGGGTTTGCCGCGGAATTTGCCTACTTACTATGCCAGAGCGCTCTTCTATTGCGTGAAGCAAGCGAGTTTTTTGGATCTCATTCTGAGGGAATCGCGGCCGCTCTTGAGCATGTGCTCTCCGTTAGTGAGACGGGTTTGCCGGATTCCATCTCCAAGCTAAGAAGCCATCCTGAGCGCGTGCACGCCGCGTTATCCTCTTTAATGGGTGTGATGCATCTTATGTTTTTTGTTCTACAAGAACTTGATACCGCTATAACACAATATCGGAGGAATCCCAAGAATACCCACTCAAGCTTGAAGCCGCGGCGGTTCGCAACCGAAGGGGTCCACAAGAAAGAAAGTAAGGTCCCCAATACTGCGCCTTCAAGCCATCTTGCGCCGATTGTTTCCCTTAGAGAATTCGCGCACGCTCTGTGGCTTCACCTTCTAGATATGTGGCCAGATGAAGTGATTTCTTTGGGGTTTATTGAGTGGTGGTTACACCACCCCCGTAATAGTAATTCAGGTTTGGGGATAGAGAATGAAGATAAGCCAAGCGAGGAGCAACCACAGGGGCAAGAAGAGGACTTTTTTCTGAGCACACAAGATGCAACTTACCTCTCTGAACAAATACAATTCCACTTCGGGCAGATTTTTTATGCAGTGGTCTATCGAATTCATTTGATGGCTTCCCATGAGACATGGAGCCTAGTTGGAGGTGAGAAACCACTTTTTCAGTGTAGTTCCAGGTCATACTCTCCTCAAAAAACTCGAAGAGTAAGCTACAGTGATTCATCCTATAACGGAAGGGAGTCTGAACGAACTCACATGGAGGCGAGCGACGATTGGCTAGCTTTTAGCTTCCCACCGCTCCAGCGTCACACATTGCCGCAGGCGCAGAAACAGGCGCCGCCCGGTTCTAAATCTGAAGACCAGGGTGATTTCTTTGCCCAGAGCCCTCACCCATCGTTTCCGGCTGGTGATAGGCATTTTTCCGTGGATTATTCTGACCTATGGCGAAATGACAGTAGCCCATACCAAAATGCCTTGTTAGCCCAGCTTCTCATTCGATTTCTTTCCTCGTGTTTTGTGCAGCACTGCGCGTCTTCACAGGGCAATCACCATCGATTGAATCCGTCTGAGGATAACTGGCCAAGCTATGTTCTCTTCGCGCTGTGTCGGTTGTGTAACAGTATCCCGATGACCACACTCTTTCATACCGAGCGATCGCCATCCTTATTATCCTCTTCTTTTGTTTCAACCATCACGGGCAGCGCGGGTGTACAGCCCTCTGCGTTTCTGCAAACATTGGTTTCCGTTTTCAGCGAAGCGATGAGGCTTGCCGCAAAGCTAGCCGCACGTGTAGGGGGGGTTCGACTGGAGATGAAGGTGGACTTGATGTGCTTCGTCGGCAGGCTATTGAGGTTGCGAGAGTTACTAGTTCTTTGGTCCTTAAAAAGTCGTGCGGAGTTTGACGCGGAGTTAGAGCGGCTAGAGGCCTTGCTGGCTCTTGCGAAGTAAGCAACGGTCCAATACTACAAGGTAATATTGACAAGAGCCGGAGAGAGATTATTTATAACTTTTTCCAGCTCTTCAACTCTTTTTAGCCACTCGAAATGACCTTATGATAAAGAATTGACTGAAGGGGTCTGTGTTAGTCCTTCAAGCTATGTATATGTATTTATCCATCGATCGATCTATATGTATACTTTTTATTTTTATTGCCTTCTTGATATACTACTTTGACGTTTTTTTTTCGAGATGAAGGAGGATTTACCCATATATATATATATTAGATTTATATATATTCGACTCCCTTCGCCTCCCCTTAGATTATCATGCAGGGCGAGAGGTGCGAAGAGGAGTCAATGAACCCTAATGCAACTTCAACTTCTGCAAGCAACGAGACGAAGCAGCCGGTGGTCATTTTAGTTGTGGGGATGGCTGGTACCGGCAAAACGACGCTTGTCCACGCGCTGCAGAACTACGCTACCGGAAAAGGCATCCGTTCTTACTTCATCAACCTCGATCCGGCGGTGGCCTCAGTGCCATACCGGGCTAACATCGATATTCGCGATACGGTAAGCTACAAAGAGGTCATGAATAGCTATCGGCTGGGGCCGAACGGCGCCATCATGACGTCACTGAATCTTTTCGCCACGAAGTTCAACCAGGTGGTTTCCCTCTTAGAGAAGAAAGAAGCCCTGGAGTGGATTATTGTCGACACTCCCGGGCAGATCGAGGTCTTCACGTGGTCGGCATCTGGGCAACTTATTGCGGAGTCTCTGGCTGCTGTCTTTCCGACGATCATTCTGTTCGTGGCGGACACGACGCGGTGCATCAACCCTAGCACTTTTGTCTCTTCCATGCTTTACTCTAGCGGGATCATGCTGAAGCAACAGCTCCCTTTGCTTCTCGTTTTCAACAAAACGGATGTGGTGTCGGCAGATTTAGTCATCTCATGGATGCGCGACAACGACGCCTTGCAGGAGGCGGTGGATCTGGGATCCTCAGGTTCCTTAGCGGGTCTGCCTCAAGGTGGGTGTGGGAGCGATGGCAACGTCGGGGTTGGTGGCTTTGGGAGTGGGGGAGGGAGCTACGCGAGCACCCTCGCGCGCTCCATGTCGTTGTTTCTGCATGAGTTCTACGAAAACATCCCCTACGCGGCCGTCTCGGCCTCCACCAATGCGGGACTGAACGAATTAGAAGCCGCGATTGTGCGAGGCAAGACCCAGGCTGTGGAGGAAAATCAGCGCATGCGGGAAGTGGAATTACAGAAGAAGAAAGAAGCAAATGAAGCCAATGCGGCACGTCAGATAGCGGCTTTTCAGAGGGATTTGGGGAAGGGTGACCATTTTTGAGGGGATGGGGGACCCCGCATGCGACATGCAGGTAGCACAATGATACTCTCACACGGGGTGGTGGTGGTCGTGGGGGGGAGGGGGGGAACAAATTACACATGGTGCAACCATTTATAATCGTAATAACTAATTGGATTTACCAACCTGACTTGACGAACATGACGGGTGTGCTTTTAAATGTCAGGCAATGTCTGGCGCCTTTCTGGAAGGATTCCGGGGCTCAGCTCCTGTTGATTGTCTATTTCTTCTCCATTGTTATCCTCTATAGCTTAGATCGTCCTCCAGCTATTCCAAAGGCTCCTCAACGGGTCTCCCTTAACGACCAAACGTACACGACCTACTCCCTGGATTCTGAATAAACCGACGGATGGCCCACGCCCTCTTACCTCTTGGGCCTCGTCGATACCTATGGCTCCCTTTGTTCCTCCTCCTTCTTTCTCGGCTGGCGGTCCCCGTTGAGGGGCTTGAGTTCGCGACGGTGGTGAATTTTTTCGCCCTCCAAGACCCCCTCGCGACGAAGGAGAACAGCGAGACGCTGTGTAAGGGAATGGGGGGGTTCCTCGCGACGGAGCCGACGCCGGCCGCTCACGCCGCCGTCGTCGCGGCCGCCCAGGAGGCAGGGGGGGGGAACGAGTGGTACGCCTTCCTCGGCGCCGATACCCGCGATCCGACGCGAAAATTCTGCCCGAAGCCGTTCCCGGAGGAGTTCCACCACGGCGGCGCCACCTGTGATTGCTACTGGCGGTGGAATCAAGGGCGGTGGCGGGAGCTCCAGGACGACCGCACCCGTCGTTTCTTCACCCCGGGCATCGGCGTCACGTTTTTTATCGGGAACCATTTCCGGCTGGAGGCGTCCGAGGTGGGGCCGGTGTCGGGGTTTGCTTCGTATTTTCCCGCCCCCTCGACGACCGACGCGGAGCGTCGGCCGAATTGTCTGCTTGGGAACGATCTCCTCGCCATCGGCAACGGGGCGGGGTCGATCTGGTCGGATAACCTCGCCACCGGGGGCTACAGCTACGCGGGGTACGCCTACTCCGAGGTCATCTCCCTTTGCGTGTGGAATGAATCCGCACGGGCCGCGACGAAGTCGAAATTCCTCGCCATCTGCGAGATTCAGGCCCCGACGCGGGGGATTTCTGAGGTCGACGTGCACGACGCGGCGCCGGAGTCGACGTGGTGGGTGGTGTACTTCTCCCTCCTCTTCGTCGCCCTCTTCATTATCTTCCTCATCGTCTGGCGATGCCAGGATCGGGAGGACGGGGATGAGCCCTTGGAGGAGGCCCCGGACTGGGTGCAGCAGGAGGCCGGGGGGCTCGTCCGGAGCAAGTCTTGCGTCAGCCAGCGGATGATCGAGTGCCCCGTTGGGAACATCCTCGCAGCCCCTCACCCGTGCGCCTCAGGTCGTTGGAATGCCTCGCAGATAGATATGGATCGCGTTCGCGCGGCTTCCATGCGCAGCATGCGAGACTTCTCCCCTACCGAGGGAATTCCCGCTACCGACTTTTCGCGCGTGTATGTTCTGGACCGGAAGGGAAGTCATGTGGATTAGTCTGAGATTTTGAATGAAGTATCTTGAATCTTTACTCGGTCCATCCACTAATTCGCGAAGGAAAACTTATTCAATGCATAGGAAGCGATTCACACAATATATTATTAATGTCTCCAGATCAAGTTCGTCTCTATTAACTTTGTACTATATTGTCTTTATCTTTTTTTATTTATTGCCTGCTTTGTGCATCATGTTTGCGGTCAGTTGAAAATTGTCTATTATATTCTAGTTATTATTTAATTTATCTCGCATTGTCGTTGTTCATGAGTTGTTTCTGTTTTTTTTTTCGGGGTGGGGAATGTGTATATCAGATAACTTTATGAATAGTATAGAAAGGAAAAAGTATAAAACAATTACTTTTGAATTGGATCTCTATTATTTGTATGTACTTTTTCTTTCCGTTTGCTTTTTTATAACTCTGGAGTTGCTGTTCAGTTCATTTTATTGTACCTATTTATGTGCTTTATTCTACCTCTCGTAAAGGTGGAGAAAGTACGAGATAAGGTTATATTGACTGCTTGATCGCTCGCGAATCTAGTGACCGCATTACGCGTTTTATTGTGATGTAATATTATGCACACGGGTATTTGTGAATGTGTAAGATAAGCATGTATGTCATAGTGATGATTTTTGTCTATTATATTCCTTTAACTTGTGCTTAGAGTTAGTTTTCATCCCTTAATGTTAAAGGTAGCGGTTAGCAAATATCAATAAATGCTATTTCCAACAGCATCTGCAACAAAAAAGAGAAATGTAATTGAAATTTGTGTATTTTTTCTCGATTAAGAAGCACACATTCTCCGCTAGTCTATTACCCTTACGGATATCCAACGCGGTTGTGCTCTTTTTATTCCTACTTTTTACTAATATTAACAAAAATATAAATAGACTGCATCATTTTTTGATATCCCTTAAATTTATGGCAATATTTGAACGTATATACTCTTAGTAACGGCAACAATGCAGTAAATTATGGTAGTCTATCTTTTTATTGAATCTGTTTAATTTAAAATTAAAATGGAGGTATCCAATATGAAATGTCGGACTCGTGAAAGTAACAATCAATGTTAATATTATGTAGTTTCCTAAAAAAAAAAGTATCATACACAGTCCATATTTATGGATCAATTACACTCGCCTAAGTATCCATTAGAAATGGTGTCGCAGGAATTCTTGTATTCTACAAACCTAGCACAACATAGGGAGGGATTGGATTCCATTATGTGCTTTTTCTAACTCTTTTCCATTCTAAAGGGAAGTCTTCTTTTTCTTAATTTAAAGTACGACCAATATGTAAGTGCTGTGGTGTGATAGGCGGTGTTGTAGCGTTCTTGAGTGGTGCACTGAGGCTATACCTTCTTCCACCATTGTCAGCTTTGAGTGCAGTCTTTTATTTACTCTGATTGGGGATCACTATGGATGCAAAAACAAAGTGATCAAAATTCGAAAATGGAGCAGTCTTCTAGGAATTCAGATTGAGAAAGATCGACATTCGTTTTTAGAAAGCTGCCTACTGATGTCATCAGTCATACCTCTTTGTGCTAAATTCAAGCCGCAAAGTGACGATGAACGGGATGGAAGTCTTGCATATTCTGAGTTTCTTGAGGCATGAATAAAAATGAAGAAGCAATGAAGATTGGCTTAATTCCAGGGATAGGGCTACCCGATTTGGCTTAAACTAGGCGAACCGCTTTTTGCTCAACGTTTTTTTTCTTTTACAATATTGCTCTTTTCTTATCCTTTGATGTGATATTGCCGCAACACTGCAATTTCCTCTACTCCAAAAGGCAGTCCGATTGTGCTGCGTTATCAAGCGTTGTTGCCTGCGCTGTTATGTGGCACGACTTTATTATCGAGAGCATGTTATGCAGTCAGCTTATCACCATGCGACGATAATGGTTCTGAAAAAAAAAAGAAACAGCAGCTTGCTACAGCACACAGTGGAGTCAGTATTCACTGGCAAAGACATTTCTTTTGGTCCATGCGGCTTGTGGCAGACCCGGGTGCCTCTTCAAATAGGGTTTGAAGGAGTCGTTAGCGTTCTCATTTTCCGAACTAAGCAAAGGGACTGCTGTGGCATCAGCGAGGGCAGCTTAATTCTGTCTGGATGTCTCTATTTTCAGAGTAAACAATCAAATGATGCGAGCAGGTCGAAGATCGGGCAAAGTCTTGCCCGTCTTTCGGTCTGAATGTTCATGTTGTTCATTTGTCTATATAGATAGCATTAAATGCAATCTATAATATCCAATTTTACTTGAGTCTATCTTTTTAAAGGAATACATTTCAAATCAATACGGATACAACGATTTATTTTTACTTATGACCATTAATTTAATTTTCGAATTATTTTTTCCTGATCGCTTGAGCGCCTAGATGCTATTGTAGATCGACCTATAAGGGCATATCTATCGGATTTCTTTCTATTTTCAAATCCATATATACGTTGCTACCAAACATTTTGAGGATATCTCCATGAATGTTGTGTTGAAGTTTGGATTGTATTCCGTATTTGTTAAATCATGATTTCAAAAATGCTGGAAGGAGGAATTTCTTTTAATATAGTAAATATACTGTTCTGCTATACAATGTCGCGAATGTCGATTTGTTTTTACATGATATATCTATGCTCTGATTTTTGTCTTTCAATCAGAATAATACAGGGCCTAATATGGAACTGAACCCCATAGGTGAGTGATAGTGGTTCAACCCTTTTTATTTTCTCTATCGTCTGTATGAACATTGTGGATTTTTAGGATATCTACTTTGCATTCACAATTATCCTTGTTTCATAATGGTCTAAAAAATCATTCCTTATGCTTAAGGCCCAAGACTTAACTGGGAAGCAGTACAATAGTTTTTTACCTTTTTATTTCCAACGAAGCAGATGCCTTTCGGGAAGAGCTGTGTAAGGTTGTGTTCAGCAGAATGTCTATTTTCAAACAAGGAGGCGCGCTCCGATCAGGAGCACCTGTCAGGTGTCATCTTGCTGAATAGCCCGGAGAACGCCCAGTGGTCGTGCAAGGAATACTTTCGTTTGTGGAAGTTGTACCGGGGGAAAAGACATGCCTCATCACCACTGCCTAAACGTCCTATCTGCTACTTTATCTGCGCAGATGGGGCTTATGATGCGCTCCTACACTATTATTATACCCATTATGATGAACTCTGCGATCTAGGGTTATTCCCTGATGGGCATGGAAAGTCTCGAGGAACGGGTGAAACTGTGCCTCTCCCCCCGTTTCCGCTTTGTGATATTGTGATCGGCGATATGGACAGTTCAAACCGCTTTAAAAAATACATAAACACCAGTGAAGTCCAAGACCAGCCCCGCAAGGACTCCTCTCAAACTGAACACTTGGCTTTTGCTCAGGAATCGCAGCTCCCTTTTCTGGTTACAGGGGGCTGGTACAATCACGTCAAAGAGATCCCTTGTGAGATGCTGGGAAAAATTCGCTTACGAGCCTTGGCCTTAGCACGAGGCGGCGGCGATGGTGGATACCCTGTGTTAGAGTCAACTTTGCCGTATCTCTTTCCTATCACGTGCCAGATGACGACTGACTTCAGCAAATCCATGCTTATTTTACGCCGCCTAAAACGTCGTTACCCATGCGACTTCCCGGAGTATTACGATGATGGCGCCCCGTTATGGAGGGATCCAAGCAACAAGCGGAGGCCTTTTATCGATCGTTATGACGATGCCAACGACGATGATGAGATGATGACGGAGGAAGAGCGTGACGCCGCGGCCCCCACTGCACCGTTAGTTCAGGCGATCATTCAACGGTTTGGGGACGCTATGCGGAGCTTAATTGATTCCCATGAAGCCCTTTCCAAAGTGATGCCTCAACACGAAGAACAGAGAGATGAGCTTCGTGAATCTTTTGAAGGTGTGAACGACGCAGAAGCTAAACGGTTAGAAAACATGCGTTGCGCAAACCTCCTTAACGAGGTTTGGAAGAACAGCGTCATTGGTCGCCGCGAAGGAGGGAATGCCTATGACACCCTTTCTCTACACACCTGCATCTTGCCTTCTGTTGCCATCCTCGGCTCACTCGGTGGTCGCCTTGACCAAGAGATTGCTTCTGTTTCCTCACTCTTCAACTTTGAGAGTGAATTTCACATGATACTGACAAACAAGTGGAATGTTATGTTTCCATGTGCCACCAATGGAGTCACTCTCTGGTTGCACCCTTCCCCGGATGCGGATAAGCCTGGCGGTGTGGAAGGTTTCCAGCAGCCCGTTCTCGGTGACCCCAATGACATCACAAGCAAAACTAATGATAAGGGAGGCTGTGGTCAGAATGTCCCCTCCTCGACGGGGAAACGAGCCCAACAGCTGGATCGCGAGGGCGATTTGTGCGGCATTGTGCCTTTCGGATTTGTCCAGCAAATGGAGACGACAGGCTTCCTTTACAACATTGTGAAGGGTCGCAGTGGGCCCCCGTGGGGTCATTACGACGGTGTGACACAGACGGAGCAGTTTGTCTTTTCCTTCTCGGGTATTGTGTCAACATCTAACACGGCTGTGGCACCGATGATGTTGGTGGATATGCGGATATTATCTCACACAGATGATGATAAAAACGCGTCCTATGACAACCCACCTACTCTTCTTACAACAAACCGTTTGACCTCTAGTTAATTTTTCAATTAGATAGCTAAGGATAATAAGTAAGCGTTCCTTAAATGCGTCTTTAATTGAAGTAGTGCTTAATTAGTTTTCGACTCATTTTGTCTTGTTTAATGCTTTTTTTGGCTTGTAGAAACTGATAATTTAACAGATTTCAAGTGGAAAAATAGCGGATATACGAATAGCATTAAAGTGATTCCTGTTTCATGTGCCTTTTCATCAATCTTAGACTCAGTTTCTTTTATTTAATCTTGTAAAAAACAAGTAGCATGCTAAATAATTTCAATTTCTTAACTCCTACGGTAAAACTTACTATGACATGCTATATTTCAGACTGACCAAACAGGTGGGTGGAGAAAAACTGTTTTCCTGGTTTAGCTTTAGGTATTTTCGGAAATGTCGACGTTGAGCATTCAAAACAGCGATGGGACAATGTTGAACAGCTCATGTAGTTCTATCAAGTGGGCTCCCACCCTTCCCCTAAAAATACTTGTGTTCTCGCTTATTCAGCACGCAATATTTTCGTGTCCAACGATCCTAATAAAACTAACCCCCAACATTTGTCGCAAAGGACATACAAGCGTTCAGGGGTGCTTTTTAAAAAATAGAAAAGGGCTCAGCGATTTTCGTCATTACCTCAATGAGATAGCTTCTGCGAGTATGTGTTTCTAAAGGACAATAGAATTTGATATTATCAAATCATATTGGAAATAAAACCTCTTGTTCCGCATGCCTTGTCACTCATACCCTAAGTATTGACAACTCAAGAGACTTATCACTATGAATTGACAAGCTTTGACCTCATTAAAGAGATTGTGACACAAAATTCATTTCGGTTAATATGATTCTCATAATAACTTTACAACGATCTCGGCTCTTCTTTTCAATTTATGTTTTACCTTTGTTTAAATTGCACAGGAACCTGAAGATATTGTCGCTAAAATGGCCAAGAAGCACCTCAAACGTCTGTATGCGCCGTCCGACTGGATGCTGAGCAAGCTGACGGGCGTGTTCGCACCCCGCCCGCGTCCGGGGCCGCACAAGCTGCGCGAGTGCCTCCCCCTGCTGGTGATCATTCGGAACCGCCTGAAGTACGCGCTGAACGCTCGTGAGGGGGAGATGATCCTTCGCCAGGGCCTCGTGCACGTCGACAACCACCCTCGCTGCGATGGCAAGTACCCGGCCGGGTTCATGGACGTCGTGGAGATCCCGAAGGCGGGTGACCGCTTCCGTCTGATGTACGACGTGAAGGGCCGCTTCGTGATGGTGAACGTGTCGGAGGAGGAGGGCAACCTGAAGCTGCTGAAGGTGGTGAACCTGTACACGGCGACCGGCCGCGTTCCGGTTGCGGTCACGCACGACGGCCACCGCATCCGCTACCCCGACCCGCACACGTCGATCGGCGATACGATCGTGTACAACACGAAGGAGAAGAAGGCGGTGGACCTGGTGAAGCAAGGGAGCGGCAAGGCGGTGATGATCACCGCCGGCGCGAATCGCGGGCGTGTAGGCGAGATCGTGAGCATCGAGCGCCACCCCGGTGCGTTTGATATCGCGCGCCTGAAGGACGCCGCGGGCAACGAGTTCGCGACGCGCGCGAGCAACGTGTTCGTGGTGGGCAAGAGCCTGAGCAACATCCTCGTGACGCTGCCCAAGCAGCAGGGCCTGCGCATGAACGTGATCCAGGAGCGCGAGGAGAAGCTCATCGCGGCGGAGGTGCGCAAGGCCTCCCCACGCCCGGCCCTCCGCAAGGTCCGCAAGTAAACGGGTAGAGGCCTGAGGAATCTCCTTCTACGTATATTTCCGCTTAGTATGACCATGATTCTTTTCGATTTATTTTATTTTAAATGGTAAAATCTTTCATATATTTAAAAAAAGATGTTGTTCATTGTATTCGATCAGTTTGTGTTTTGTGTGACTGACTCCACCCCTTTTTCTGTTATTCCCAATTTTTACCTTCTCCTTTTACCTTGTTGTCTTTCCCCTTCTCTTAATTTTACGATTTAACATAATAAGGTTCTCTCCTTTTCAGTTTGTTCCTGACATAATAAAAAAAGTAATATTTTCCTTCTATCTCACACCTTTTAAATATTTATTTGGGTCACAATGAACGAAAAGTCACATGCGTCATGTTTATCCTTTAGCTCCCTTTCCGAGGCTTACGTCTATTTTACGTGCTTGATGCTCGGGATCTCCATTCTCATGCCATTTAATGCCCTGATCTCCGCCCCTCGTTACATGACTGACTACTACAAGTATGTCACGGGAGATGAAAAGGCCAAACCGAACAATGAGTTCTTCTGGGCGAATATCTTCGTTTACTACAATATCGCGTCTACGATAACTCAGATTATTGTGGGGCCGACTGTACTCCTTCCGTTTGCGCGCAGGTTTTCCCTAAACTTGCGTTTCTCCCTGTCGATCACGCTCATGATGTCCGAGGTCTTTGTTACGCTCCTCTTACCGGCCATAAAGGTGAGCCAAGAGTTCGCGATGGTGGCCTTTTTTATTGTCACGATCGCGGCGGGGGTGGGAAAATCGTACCTTGAAGCAACCTGTTACGTCCTCGTCGGTACAATGCCGTCCAAGTTCATGTCTGCGGTCATGTTCGGCTGCAGTTTTTCTGGAGTGACAGCCTCCATCCTGCAGTGTGTCATCAAAGCTTCACTTCCAGACACGTATGAATCCGTTAGGACGCAGTCTTACATCTATTTCAGCCTCACGCTCGCTTGTATGGCAATCGGGTTGGTCACGTCACTCACCCTCCGCTGGAATAGTTTCGCGCAGAGGTTTGTTGGCGAATACAACATGGCAAAGGTGCGCCGTGGGTTTGAGAATACAGATATGGATGCGCTTGGTCCGGTGAATCCGAATGCAGGTAGCTCGAAAGTGGCGGTGTCTGGCCAAAACGATGAGGGTGTCTCCTACGCCAGAATAGTAGATACAAAATCGTCGGTTGTGGAAAGTCCCACATTAAATAGCAACATCAAAGATCTGAATGAAGCCGGCGATGAATATGGCAAGTCGGAAGCCGCCGGCGCTCAGAATTACATGACCACATCTCAACAATTGCGGAGCACCGCTGTTGGACCTGTTTTTAAGCTAGTTTATCCGAGCATGATCGCGTGCTTTACTACCTTCCTTGTTACCCTGATTATCTTCCCCTCGCTGGTGATTCCGATTGATCGTAAGGATAACTGGTTTGCCACCATCGCGGTCCTCCTGTACAACTGCGGAGATGCCACCGGCCGGCTCTCGTCGTCGTTCCGCTTTCTTTGGGTGTCGAGGAGGGTACTCTTGGTGACGGTGTGCTGCCGCTGCCTCTTTTTCGTTCCGATCCTGCTCTGCATTTACAAGTACATCCCTGGCCACATTGTACCGTTCCTCCTGATTCCCGTGCTCGGCCTCACCAACGGCTTTTTCGGCTCACTCGCGATGGTGTACGGGCCGATCACGCCGGGGATCCGCACCGATGGGCAGCGCGCGATGGCAGGGCAGCTCATGGGGATTTCCCTCCTGGGTGGTATTTCAACGGCCTCGTTGGTGGCCTTCGGGGTGGTTTCCGTCTTGGGGCGGTAAAACAACTCCACGGAGGACGGTGTGCCGGATAGTAATGGTGCGGGAGTCTGGAAGGAAGGTGTCCTCTAACCTCTTCTTTTCAGGACATCACACCAAGGAGCGTACACAGGTGAACAGAAAACTCCGCATGAATCCATTGATAATAAAAAGCGCTTACTTCTTCCTGCTATGGATTTTCCATATATTTTTTCGGCAATAAATGCGTATTGCTGACGGCAACCAACACACTGGGTCATTTGTCACACATCTTCATAGGAAGTTTATACATGAAATGATTGTTGTGAATCTTTGCCGTAAAGAGAGCACCCATGGGAAGTGTATTTACTATGCAAATTGCTTCTTTTGCTTTTATTTTCGCACTGGGAAATGGGTCCTGAACTTTGTCTCAGGTTGAGATATTTTTTTTTGAGTTTTCTAACCGTTACGAACGGAAGGAAGCATGCTAAGTAAATAATCAAGTATCTAAAATTTAGAGATTTAAGTCGACCTAGTAAATGGTAGTATATACCTAATGACTTCTCATTTTCAAAGCTTAAATATAGTTGGTAGACATGAAATATAGAAGTCATCTAATACGTGAAGATTTTATGATTAATTACGAATGGAACAAATGAAAAGCGCAAAAATGTTGCCGAGCCTTTAGTTAGCATGTTTCTTCAGTTTGTGAATCTTTTTATTCCTTTTCTCCGTTAAGAACTAAGGAGTGGGCCTCCAGTGAGTTTATTGCCCTTTTTGTTTTAAAGACTTGCTCACCGTAAATCCTGATGGTTTTTATCAATAGTATGAAGTGTTTTCAATTTTTTTTAAGAGATTATTGAAGTAGCCAATTGAAAATTGCATATCTATTGTTCATGAGCGGTCAATTCCTTACCCCTTAAATGAAAGCAAAAGTTGAGTTGCCCTTTCATTATTCACCTTTATAAACACTTCTGTGTTCATAAAGGTAGGCTTGCTTTTCATTTTTTCGTTTTATGTTTGATTTCCTTTCACTTTATATCCATCGTGTTGATTGTTTTGTATATTTAACTAAATTAATCCATAAAAAAAGAAATACACCCTTAATAAGTGATCCAAGTGTTAGTAGAAGTAGATTGGATTTGTTATTGTCAAAGACACTCGATCTCCCGAACTCATTTGTATTTTTTTTTAAAGTCTAGTTGATGCATATGGCTTTATAAACCTAATTTTTTCCCACGCCTCATTAATAAACATTAATTTTTAAAAAAATTAAGTTGAAGACTAATTGATAAAAAATAATAACCATGCGAATAAGGACTGAAAATTGTTCAAGTCATTAATATTATTGATGTTTCTAAGAATAGGCAAATAACAAAATAAAGGGAGTTTAACCCTCTAATTAACGATGGGTATCATTTCCTCCGCAGACATGGTAGACTTGGTGATACATAGTGCTATGGAGATGTATGCTACTCTTTTTTCCCTTGATTATTATTGGACGTTTTGGATATCCATTTATCATCAAGAGTTTCGTTGAAAAAACGGAGGGCGAATTAAGCGTAGTGGTAGTTAGCTTAATCGTCATTTATTGCCCTAGTTCTGGCTTCTAGTCCACAATTCACGAAGAACTTTTCGCAGGCTATCACAAAATAAAATCAGAGTTTTTTAGGAGGGCTTTTATTCTTTAACCTCTTGTAGGAATGTTTTGCTTGACACATGCCTGCCTGGCAAGCAAAGTAACAGGCGGCAGCGCCAGGAACCAGGCGGGCACTTTTCGCAAAAAGTTCAAAGTTTTTCACGTCATTCCAGGAACCCCCGTCGCGCCTGTTGAGAAGCTGAAAGAGCAGCGTCGGCGCTTCGGCCAAGATCGATATTCCCGACAGCCGGAATATCGCCCTGGGCGGAATGTTAGGATGGATCCAAATACTTACACGTTGTATGCCACAGTGAAGGGTGTTGTTTCAATTCGTACATCACGAATAAACCCGAGTTATAAATGGTTGGACGTGGAGCCGGACATTCAAAAAGTCGTGCGGTCGCGGGCTATGCGTCAGGCGCTACAGGAACGCGGGCAGGCATCTATGCTGGTCGCGAGCAACCCCAACTACAAGGCGGAGCTGGATAATTTTGAGGATCCACAGTGGCGTGAACGGATTATGCGGCTGAGCAAGGCTACGAAGAAGCTACAGGATCCGAATTTATTCACACAAGGCCATTTGCAGGCGCTTGATCCACCGAGTCGTTACTCGTATGAGTAGGAATCTCATGCAATAGAGAAAGGAGGTAAAATGAATTCATACGTATGAATACATAAAGCGAGGAGAAAGAAGTTTTTCTATCCATCTACATTCATTTCCGAGACTAGTTCATTTTTTTTTCTGGTAGGATAATCTGTTTAGATCGGGTTGGATCGTTCGGATGAGTGGGATGTGCTACTAGATGCGATCAATGCTACTTGAAAAGAAAGAAAATTAATATGAAAACGTCATCAGCAGTTTTACGCAATCCCGTATCCCACCTCCATAATTCTCAGCACTAAAACGTCCCAAAAAATCCGCACGATTTTTTTTTCTATTTTGAGCTTCAACCCTCGCAAAATCTTTCCCTTCTTCCCATGTGTACATTTGCTATTGCGTTTTATGAGGCCCTGTTCAGGCTCTGGAGCATGGGAACCCTCTAAGTGACTTTTCTTTTTTTGGTATCCTTCTGGCCACTTGATGTCGCTGTCGTTTTTCATTGTATGAACCTTTCCACTTTCACTTTCACTTCCATTTCTCCTCCTCTTCGTTTCTCACTCTCCATCCTCATTCCACCAAATTGTTATCAGGTCAACCCCGCATTGAGGATATCGAAAAAGTAACCACTCTCGCGACACCCACTTACCCCTTCCCAACCGGTCAGCCCGAACCCTCCGTGCGAGAAAACCGATCGGGGATGGTCGTCATGCACCCGGCCGCCAAGGTGGGCCGTAGCGGCAGCGCGCCGGACCGAATCCGGCTTCCCTCTAAACTTCACCCCACCCCGAGCCGTCTTGCTGTTGAGGCAGGGGCCGATCCCAGCCCCAACCCCGACCCAACGCCCGTCCAGAAGCTGCGCACGCCGTCCCCTCGCGGCCCCGCGACGGAGCCCCCGAAGGCCCGCGCCGGCCACCGAAAGCCCACCCATCCCCCCGCGGCCTGTCACAGCGGCGGCCGACGCCGTCTCAGCCCACC